TTCCCCCCCCCCCCCCCCCCCCCCCAGGTTTTCTGACATGTATCCCTGTCCCCCCGTGATCTGCGCCCATGACATCAGACATATCTCCCCCTACTGTGTTGGAAACGAATGATACTGTACTCCCTGGTGTGCAGGTCACTAAAACTTTGTATGTATGTCTTGACTTAAAGTTGGAATACATTGCTGAATTGGTACTGTCCAAAGATGACCTCTCAGTCTGAACTTCTGAGCAGTCAATTATTGCAGTTACTTAAAAATATTTAAGGTAACAGTCAGGATAGTACTGATCTAATTGATTCCGTGTTGGCCAATGAATAAGTGGTTTGAGGGCAATAAGACAAATCCAGGTGGTGATGATGGAATAAACTTGAGAACTGGACACACTAAACAAAGTAATATACTCATATAGGCCATATATTTCGATTAGTGTATGTCTTCAATGGGCCCCCGTACAAAAAGTAAGGGAGACAACAATTTGGTGATTTGATATTTCGAATAATGACAAGTGTGAGATAGTATGGTGAGAATTTCAAAAAGTTCCTATGACGGCTAAGCCTTTTAATTTGCTGTTTAACTTTGGTAATTTTCAGCTTCCATAACAAAAAAATTATATCTTAAATGAGCCACAGTACAAAGACTAGGAGAGTTAGACATATAGGTGTTTGCGAAATTGAAAGAATTCTTATGTGTATTTGTCATAAAATATTTAAGTTAGAAATAATTCAGATTTTATATCGGGAATGTGTATGCTGAGACGATTCGACCCGAATCTGTATGCTAGTTGAATGTGTGAGCTAAGTTCAGCCCGGTGGAACAGTTTGTAACCACTTGTGGAATTAATCTTCCAAATTCATTTCTCAAAGTAAAAAATATAAAGAATAGTGAAACTTCAAATTTTGAAAACAATTTCTAGGTTCATCTAATGTCAGTTACATCAATTTCATCAATTTTATTACCAAATATAACGTAAAAGTTTTCTGAATTGGTTACGAATTTGTGTTAGATTTAGACCCGTTAGTTACAAATCATTCAGATGTCAGGGACGTTTTTAAAAGCTAATAAACGCAATATCTGTTTAAAATTATTTTCTGAATTTTTATATTCTAAATCGGTTAATTTAATCACTAAAAATAAACATGAATTAGGAGTTATAAACCAATTTACTCACAACTACACAATTTCATATTTTATTTTCGTTTTTTGTTCTTTTGTTATCACCATTTGTACGAGATGCGCGTTGAACACTGCGCAGTAAAGATAAATCGGCATGGCAGAATATACGCGTGATCCTTGGTAAAAATTATATAATTTCTTTATATTTGCTCTAAATGAATAATTGGTACTATGAACGTATTGAATAATTGTTGCTTTAAACCCTCGGTCAGGTTCAGTTTAAGTAGTCTGTAGAAAAATCCCTCCATTGACCCAAACTTTGTCTTTGACATTGAAAAATAATAAGTTATTTTTCAAAGTGAAATGACGAAATTGTTTAAGCTTGCTAATTACAAATTGTTTCATATTGGCGCTATTGTCTTTGTGCATTGTCCTTGCTTTTGTTTTTTGCAAACCTTAAATAGATTCAGATCAATTTGTTACAATATCAGTTAAAAGTCTCATCTTATGGCACTTATTGACTTATGTAACTCTGCATTTCAAAATATTAAAACAGAACCTGAAACATGTAGTTACTCAGAGTTTCTTTACTTTTTCAGTCCGTACCGGATACTGGATGATTGTGGGGGAGCGTTTTCTATGGGTGTGATCGGGGGTTCAGTATTTCACAGTATAAAAGGTTTCAGAAATGCACCAAGTGTAAGTCTAAATAAAATCCTTATTTTTAAAGTCAGTTGTGAGCTTTTAAGTGATGCAGACATCTGAAAGACTAGACTAGATATTAGATTGAATTATGAAAAGGCCTTAAACAATTGGAAATGAGAAGTCCTCTCACATACACATAATTTCAAGGGAAGTGAACTCAAATCTTTTTCTTTCATTTCTGAAATTTGAACTTCAAGATTCTGGATCTACCATTAAAAGCTGTAGCCAGGCCTGCTTGTAACCTTAACGAACCTTAATGAAATTTTATTAAACAGGTGAATTTTTGTTGTTTTTTTTCAGGGTAATTTCAGAAGAATGTATGGCAGTCTTGCTATGGTCAGAGAAAAGGCACCTATTACTGGGCGTAAGTATTGAACTTATATAAGTTATGATTCAAGAATGATTTTATTAAAAGTGTCCCACAATGATATCTTTTGTGCCTGTAGATAATGTTGAAAGGGCTTATACAGAGAAAGATTGAAGGCTTTAGATGTGGTATTTCCATTGGAGTATCTCTTAAAAACATTCATTAACATTTTGAGTGTAAATGAAATATACTGTCATATACCCTGAACTCTAAGTAATAAAAGTAAAAGTGTATGATGTTAACGTTGTATGACATCACTTAGTAACAGCTGGTACACCGTCTGCTTGGGTATATGTTGCGTTAGTGTGTGGACGGTAAACCGGCCTCTAGGGTTGAAAAGGTTTCTGATATTTTTTTTTCTTTGCAGGCAATTTTGCAGTGTGGGGATTTTTATTTTCATCAATAGATTGTTTATGTGTATATGTTCGGAAGAAGGAAGATCCATGGAACTCTATATTTAGTGGGGCTGCTACAGGGTTTGCATTGTCTTTCAGGGGTAAGATATTATTGGTGTTAATTAGCCTTTTAGCCAGCCATGTCTGGTTGCTGCTCCAAAGTGTCTGACTTTGTTCTAAATCTTTTATAGATTTTCCATAACCATGAGTGTATTTTATTTTCGTTACTAAGTGTGGTCCATGAAATTTAGCTGATAGTTTTCACCAGACTCTCTCCTGAAAGCACTAGCAATGGCATCAGAATATCTCTTAATTTAAGGAGGATTCGAACCCACTGCCCCTAATGTCCTTGCAGACAATTATCCAACTGGCTACTGGCTGACCATAAAGTATCTTAGTGTGGACTCTTAGTGTAGACTGATATTCTTATCCAATTTTTTTCTCTTTTAGATGGGTTAAAAAAGGGTGTTGGCTCAGCAGTAGTTGGTAAGCAGTTTTAGATTCTTTATTCATTGGTAGTTGCTTCCCTTTATTCTTGAGGGATGGAGTAACCCAAGGAGGCTATCATATTGCTTGGCTATCTTAAAAATCATAATGCTTTGATTGGTGAAAACTTATTTGTCATTAGAACAAAACTGTGTTGGAAATCTTGTTAGATTACAATCTTGATGAAAAATATTACAGGAAAAGAATTGAAATTGTAGATTAATTTTAAGTATATTTTGATTGTAGGTGGGGTATTATTAGCTATGATTGAAGGAATGGGTATTTTATTTACAAGATATTCTGCAGAACAGTTTAATCCAGGTAACTTCCATTTTTCACCTGTTTTTCAGATCTTGTTGTTCTGATCTTACACTATATCTGGTGTCCTATTAGGAGCATTTTTATCCTTGCAAACCTTCACAGGTTGAACTTACAGCCAGTTTTTTAGCACAAAAGCATTAAGGTCACTGTGATGGCAATAAGGTTACTGTGGTGGCATGTGGTTACTATGGTAGCAAATAATGTTACTGTGGTAGCTCAAAGGTTACTGTGGTACTAGTAGCATAAAGGTGGCGCTTAAGGTTACTAATGAAGCACATTAGGTTACTGTGGTGGGTTGTGAATCACAGGTTGCTATAGTGACGCAAACTTTATAGTTCTATCACATCAATCATTTGATAAAGTAATGTTGATATTTGTGTATATTTTCAGCTAACCGAGTAGAAATGGAGGAACCACCACCACCATCCAGCTCTCAACAAGGTGGTAGTACAATTTTTGGTTCTCAATATCAATAATAATAACTTAAAAAAAAGTGATTTTAAACGGTGACACGTCTGGGGTGTGAATTAGTAATGTTGAAAAATTCAAACCAAGTTGTGAATCGGATACTTTTAACATCTGTGACTTTTAGCCGGGAAAAATGAACTTGACTAACTACGACTTGACGTTTTATAACAGTTACTCTTATCCTTCAGGATGGAAAAACTTGTGAAAATCAAATAAACAAAGTTAATATGTGAAAAAAGCATTTTTAAAAGACTTCAGAGAAGTGAACTTACTTGCCTTTGGATATATTCCAGTTCCGAGGACATTGAGGCCAGTAAATTTGAAGTGAACATATGATCTTGATTTCGAGGGTAGCGAGTTGTTTTCAATATTTAACCTTTGACACAATAGACCAGTATCCCTGTCGATTTTTTTCATGTCCAATCAGATTTTTTAAAAGAAGACAGCATGGAAATAATTCTATGGAAGATGCATTACGTTTCTATGACCGTCTGCCAATTGGAAAGTAGGTAGCATAATGCCAATTCAGGAGTCTTTAGTGACACATACATTGGTCTTTGTATCAAGGGTTAAATTTTGAAGCTGACTCATGACCCCTTGACATATCAAGTTGTGAAGAAACTACAGGCTTTTAATCTGAGCGAGAGATTTCATACTTGTGTTGAAATATGTTGTACAATTTATAAATTTCGGACTGAGCTATGTTTATAGTGGATGAGAATATTTCTGGTGAATGTGGAATGTTTCCTAAAGACATAATATTTTTTATTTTTGTTGAATATTGTTATCATTATTTAATGAATATGTTTTAGGATGCATTCCAGAGAACTTCATAAATCAATGATTTTGATTGTCGTCACAAATCTATGATTTTGATTGTCGTCACAAATAAAGTCAAGTGAATTCAGGTGATTTGAATTGACATATCAAGTTTGATTGGCATAAAAAATCAAGTGATTTGGATTGACAACACAAATCAAGTGATGTTGATAGACTTTGCATATCAATTATTTAGTTTGATGTCACAGATTTCTATTGGATTGACATCACAAATTTGATTTGACTTTATTTGCCGGACATGGCCGCTAGGGCAGTTCAAATGTCCCTACTGTCAATATCCTCTGCTTGACATCTCTGATTTTGATTGACCACACAAGTCAAGTGATGTTGATTGTCTATCAAGTAATGTTGATTGTCTATCAAGTGATGTTGATTGCTATCTGTTTATTTTGAACCACCAATACAAGTGTGTTTTAGAAGTGTTTATTATATGATGTAAATATAATATATTGAAATATATTTTGACTGTTTGTTAGTGTTTTGTTTAAAATTGTGCTATTAACTTAATATAATAATATAATAATATAGGTGTTTTCTTGTTAAAACATCACTAGAGTGGACGGTACAGCTGCCTCTCCCCAGCTTTCAATAACACAACAGGGTTAGAAGCAATTTGGAAGGTTTTGTTGTATTGAACTGAAGCATTTGATATCAAAAGGGAAAGCCTTTAATGAAAACAGTAATATAAATAGAAGCAACGTAAAGGGCAAGCAAGCTCTTATTAGTGGTTATGTCCCTTTAATATACAAAATGGTTCTGTGATAGCTAGATGAAGTTTGATGTGTTTGAAAATGAACCCATGCTCGAAAGTTAAAGCATTTCATCAGAGCCGTCGCATAGTGCTCATATCGGCAACTTGAGTTAGTTTTCCTACCGCACAGTTCGAGAAAAGATCACCCAAAAGATGTACCCAAAACAAATATATAACCGAATGGGTTGCTCATTTAACAAAGCCAATCGCAGAGTGGTGTCGGAGAATGTTTGAACTTCTATTAATATCCAACATTCGATTTGTTTGTCCAGATAGAATTACAATTCTAATACATCTTACTGATTTAGAACGTAATGAAAACGTATACCGTATAATTGCGAATATAGTGCGCACGTACTAAAAGAAAATTGTGTAGCTATCTGAAAGAGTAGCGCAGTTGACAACCCCAGTCACAGAGTGGTGTCAGCTGTCAGGTATAAGTAATAACAGATTCTAATATAAATACAGTATTCAACACTCGATATAGACTGACTTTTCACAAAAAGTTTCACAAAAATGGCGATAAAATAAATGGCGTCATTAGGGACAATAAAGTTAACTCGGGTATATTACACGAAGCAGAATTGCCATATATGTCTTTCATACAAACAGGGGCAGTAACTCCATCCATAAAATCATTCATAAATCCGCCGATATCCTTGCCACAGGCAGTTGTCACAGGTTGGACTATACAATCTCGTAATCCTAACTGGAATCTAAAAATAGATTAAAGGGGTTTGTGCCAATAAATACATTAATCAAGTAACTAAAAAGAACAATCTCAGCTATCTATAATACTTTTTAGAATTAAAATCCGGAACCCAATACGTATACAATGTAATGAAACCATATTGCAATCATAAGTTACCCTCATGCAAAGAACTTCGTTACTAGAGCGTCATCACTGGAATTTTATACGAAGGGCTAAATTGGCTGTATTCGCTAGTGTACAATCCAATCAAATTGCCGCATTTGCAAACTAGACTGATACGAGAAGTGCCTTATAATGTCAAGGTACTGGACGGAGATCGTAACACCAAGACATGGTTGAGATCGGTTAACTGAGATGCCTACTTACCCACAGTACGTAAGTATAACGTGGTCCACGTATCTGGCTTTAGCTATATTATCGTGGAAAACGTACTCTACGTCATGGAAACATCGTTTTATTTTACTATCTTGTCGCATTATACACACTTTGGATTTTGAATAGACTGAAACGATAAAGCATAAAGATAATTCGTGTCTTTTATTTTCGATGGGCTACCCCACCCATTCAATGATGGTATTGCGTTTCAGACGAAATGGATTATTGTACAGTAACGAAAAACATTATGACAAGGATACAGCGTCGTCGTTATGTAGATTATGAAATACATTATCAATACAACCGCTTGGGCAATGGAGTAAATTTCCAATATTTAGGAAACGAACTCATTTACGTGTGAGAAAATATACTTTAGAAAAACTAGACTATGACGAAAGTTTACCTTAAGCCTCGGACATCGATTTTGCGGTAAGAAAAGCTGGGTGGACATAATCTTCATAATGCCAAGCTATTACGAACTGTGTCTCGTATCTTGACCCATTGGCCACCTTTCTTGTATCACGGAATGCAGCAATTTGATTGGATTATATGCTAGTTAATACAGCAAATAAGAAGCCCTAGAGTTGACGCAAAGTCAGATTTTTTGCAGAGAGCCCAGTATTTGCTAGCATACAATCAAATCGTTGTGAAACAAATAGGTGTCTACTGCAGTCAGGGTATTAGATCCAGATCGTGATAGCTTTACGAAGTCACTGATCAGGAGCAGACAAATAGGAATACTTACGATCAAGTTTACCACAAATTTTATCAAATGAAAGACGTATTTTATCGGGATCAACTAATTTGTACAATAAGGAAATCTGCTGAGACTGACGACATTGGTTAAATAAAGCTTCTACACATCTAGCTGACGATTCGAACTCGCCCGACCTGGAAAGAATTCAGTATTCATTAGAAAATATCAGGGTGCCGCTGTGGCTCAGTGTGGTAGATGTTTGCTATCAGACATTTTCGTATAAGGGACACTTTTGCAATTAAATAATAGAGTGTTTTGCTTCCTGTGTGCAAAAGGGATACTGGAAATGGACAACGCGAGTGTGTAATTGGGCAAATTTTGCATCAGCAATTAAGCTATTCATATCACTTTTCAGAATGGAAATCAACATTAGATATGTCTACAATTGAATAAACCAGCCGAAATTTGTTAAAGCTTCTGTATAATTTTGTCCCAAAAACATGAAGTATGAACGTTATGCAAAACACCCCCATGATCACTACTAAAAAAAACTAATAAAAAACAGTTCACCAATTTACCAATAATTTTTAACAAGATGAGCTGTAGTGAGTACTACCCAACATCACTCACTAACAGTTCACCAATTTACCAATAATTTTTAACAAGATGAGCTGTAGTGAGTACTACTCAACATCACTCACTAACAGTTCACCAATTTACCAATAATTTTTAACAAGATGAGCTGTAGTGAGTACTACTCAACATCACTCACTAACAGTTCACCAATTTACCAATAATTTTTAACAAGATGAGCTGTAGTGAGTACTACTCAACATCACTCACTAACAGTTCACCAATTTAACAATAATCTTTAACAAGATGAGCTGTAGTGAGTACTACTCAACATCACTCACTAACAGTTCACCAATTTACCAATAATTTTTAACAAGATGAGCTGTAGTGAGTACTACTCAACATCACTCACTAACAGTTCACCAACTTAACAATAATTTTTAACAAGATGAGCTATAGTGATCACTACTCAACATCACTCACTAACTGTTCACCAATTTAACAATAATTTTTAACAATATGAGCTGTAGTGAGTACTACTCAACATCACTCACTAACAGTTCACCAAATTAACAATAATTTTTAACAAGATGAGCTATAGTGATCACTACTCAACATCACTCACTAACAGTTCACCAACTTAACAATAATTTTTAACAAGATGGGCTGTAGTGAGTACTACTCAACATCACTCACTAACAGTTCACCAACTTAACAATAATTTTTAACAAGATGAGCTATAGTGATCACTACTCAACATCACTCACCAACAGTTCACCAAAAACAAGATGAGACTGTTGTAGCGACTATTATTGAGCATCACTCAGTACAATTTCGTTAATTAACCGTGTAATTATTATTTCGTTGAATATGAATTATAGCATCATAAAATTTTACCGAATTGTAGTTAAAAAAGTCACAAAATATCCCCCATTGCGCACGGTATGACGTTATATCATTATTCTATGAACTCTTTGACACTTGACATCTTCTTAAAGGCATCGCTTCTTCTAATTTCCCCCATTTCAAACTGATATAATTCCTGTTCCTTTAAAACGGTTTTATGTTACCTACAATTTGACTTAAATCAGACATTTAGAACCGTTATACCGGTGTTATCTGGTCGGGAGAATGATAATCAATATCGTTTCTGTCTAATTTCAGACAAACTGAACGTCAGTTTTCCATTCTGAAAAGTTATACAGGTAACTGAAAGTGGGTTTTATCAGCTGGTAAAGTGAATAAATAGACGTATAATAATATTCCTTTAAATAGCAAATATTTCTGCCTTGCTGTGAATTGATCCCTTTTTCCTGTCATTGTTCGAGTTAGGGATTAATGATAATCTTGTATAATATTACAGCACTAACGAAAAGAAGATAACTTCCTACATGTATAACACACATATAGATAATCTATATAATCTAACACAAAACATTAAAGAGAGGTTCTCGTATGATATGTCGGAGTTGTTTTGCTCGGTCGGTATCGAGTTCGATTGTCATCTGCTAGCAAATTAGGTCCCGTAGATAAGAATATTCTAAGGATAAGAAATATTTTGATGTTTTGTTCAGTGCTTTCGAGATTCAATCAAGAGTCGATAATTCCTTTATAATTTTCATGAATATGTGTGAGCCACGGATCTTTTAATTATTCATTCTTGGACAAAAAATTTTCAAGCGAGGAGGCTTCTTTAACTATTCCAATGCTATTTATGAGGACTATCTCCGTAGGTAATTCTATGTGGGACAGTTCCTTTGAATTTCAATGCGGTAGAGCTCCTTTGAATTCCGGGCGGGTTACCTCCTTTAAACTTTCAAAGCGGGATAGCATCTTTAATATTTTCAGCGTTGTTTACAAGATATGGGTGAGGTCAACATGGAAAGTAACCAACAGTAATTTGTTATCAGATATGATCATAATTGAAGGAAACAAGCAAAAGATGATTGAGGCAAAGTAGATTATCCGGTATGGAAAACTGCCCGAGGAAACGCACAAACATTCGTCGTCTCGTATGAAGAAATTTGGCTCGGTCATGTCGTCTGTGAAATTTCTTAGTATATCAGACCAAATCAAGTTTGAAATATCTGTCTGTCTGTCAAATTATCCCAATGCTGTTTTTTTATCTAGTGACTGTCCGTCTTTGTGGCCCAACTAATGGAATAAGATGGTAGCTTTAAGCCAGTTTTAGTTGGTTAGTTAGTGATAAATCAATGGTGGGTTTAAAATCCCAACCACCCAAACACTTCATCCACACAAACTGGAAATAATAAGAATTGTGTTTAAATTGGTGTTGTTTTTAAAGATCCCAAAACCAATTTGTTCAAATGAAATAATATCAATAAATGGAGTAAAATGGAGTTAGACGGTGTGCAATGAGGGTAAAGTCCCTAGGACAGCGATATGCCTACTCTTTTCTAATTTTTAACTGTGGAACGATCATTAATGTGAACATCACACGTGATCCTAATTTGCATGGTAAAGGATTTGGTTGGCGGTAAATGCCATTGTAAAAGCAAACAATTTTTTCATTGTACACTGCACCGTGTTGCCCATTTCCACCACCCCACTCAACCACGTAACACTCCATTCCATTCTATTTCGTAGGCGTTCGTTTTATCAAAATGTTTTTCCGTGTATATCACAAGTTCAACTACATTTTCTATAGTGTCAAATTTACGAATATAAGTCATTTAATTTTCAAATCAAACATAGAACGAGCGCATAAATGTTTCAAATTCAGTTTTAAACGTTTTTTAAGCTCGTTTAAAATTTTGAAAAAAAATATGTCTGTGACTTTGTATCCAAGCTAATTGACATTTTGAGAAAGTAAACCTGACTTTATTTGTCTGTGATATTTCAAGTGTAAAAAGTATTTTCAACACATTAGCTATCTCAATCACTCAATTATCATTGTTTGGAAACTTTATCGTTGTACAACACGATCCGATTTTTTGCTCCATGGATGGTTCACCTTAAAGTAGCATTGCCTAGATCCTATTTTTTTTTTAATATTTTTATTGTACAACATAATCCGATTTTGTGGTTTTTTGACGAATGGTTCACTTTTAGCATTGCCTTTAGTTTACTGGCTCACATTCTTGGAAACTTTATCGTTGTACAACACGATCCGATTTTTTGCTCCATGGATGGTTCACCTTAAAGTAGCATTGCCTAGATCCTATTTTTTTTTTAATATTTTTATTGTACAACATAATCCGATTTTGTGGTTTTTTGACGAATGGTTCACTTTTAGCATTGCCTTTAGTTTACTGGCTCACATTCTTGGAAACTTTATCGTTGTACAACACGATCCGATTTTTTGCTCCATGGATGGTTCACCTTAAAGTAGCATTGCCTAGATCCTATTTTTTTTTTAATATTTTTATTGTACAACATAATCCGATTTTGTGGTTTTTTGACGAATGGTTCACTTTTAGCATTGCCTTTAGTTTACTGGCTCATATTCTTGGAAACTTTATCGTTGTACAACACGATCCGATTTTTTGCTCCATGGATGGTTCACCTTAAAGTAGCATTGCCTAGATCCTATTTTTTTTTTAAATATTTTTATTGTACAACATAATCCGATTTTGTGGTTTTTTGACGAATAGTTCACTTTTAGCATTGCCTTTAGTTTTTGGCTCATATTCTTGGAAACTTTATCGTTGTACAACACGATCCGATTTGTTGCTCGATGAATGGTTCATTTTTAAGTAGAATTGTCTAGATACAGTTTTTTTCGGAATTATTTTTATTGTACAACATGATCCGATTCGACTTTTAGCATTGCTTACATTTACTTGGCCCATATGATTGGAAACTTTATCGTTGTACAACGCGATCCGAGTTGTTGCTCGATGGATAACTCATTTTAAAGTAGCTTTGCCTAGATCCTATTTTTTACGAAACCTGTTATTTAACAACAGGATGGGATGTTTTGGCTGGCGGATGGTTTAGTTTAAAGTAACATCACCCGTATATTTGAAAACTCAACCGTTGAACAACACGAGATCCGACTTTTTTACACAATAGATGACTCATTTTAAAGTAATATTGCCTAGATCCTATTTTGGGGATCTTTTTCGGTTCGCTTTAAAGTAACATTACCTGGATCATCATTTATAGGAAATTTTATTACTGTACAATTCGGTTCCCGTTTGTCGCGTGGGGGTCCTAAAATTCCATACCTTAGTGACGTCAAAAGGCAAAATCTCCATTTTCCTATTTTTTTAAAAGTGAGATTTGGTTCAAATGGAAGCCACGAATGGCTCCTATACACGAGGAACTTGAAAACATCTTTTAATCACTTTGACATTTAGCCTATTTTTATAAACCGTAATTAGGATTTATTTGTCATTCTACAGCGCGCTTGAACAAATAAATAGGAAAGCAGAATTAACCAAGCGTTAGCCAACGTAAATTATGGTCCACGAGAGAGGAATTTCTCGTAGAAACTATTAAAGAGACGGTGTCACCATCCGTTTGACCAATCGTACTTTCATCTCGGAAACTGGAATTTTTTAGCTTAGCTAATCAGTAATAGTGTTCAAGGATCACCGTTAAAATCTGAGCATTCGTGTCTGTCCACAATTAACCGCGTATGAAAGTTAAAATGACGACTCGCCTTTCCCGACCCCCGCCATATATATGAAAGACGTATACAGAAATAAAAGTAAAATCTCTAGTATTAATCGCATTTGAAAGTATTATGCAATTTGTGTACAGTTCTAGTACCTAGAAAGCTCTAGAAGCCTTTTTAACAAATATATTCAAAACCCAAATCAACCCCTGAAAATGGCGAATATGACCTTTAAGAATTATCAATAAGCTAGATGGAAATAGTATTTACTCTTTTCTTGGTTGTTAATTGTATTATTTTCATTCCTAACAGACATCCGTCAAAATATGACAAGTTAAACTTTTCATTATGGTACAGATTTTTCGTCTGATAGTATTCATATTGGTTTGATTAAAGATGGTTTCCCCCAAAAGGTGAAAATATTAATGTAGACTCGTACAATAAGTCTCCTTGAAAAGATGCCAAGTTTTCTAGAGTAAAGAAAAATTAAAACCCACTTTAACGTAACCTAATTAAGACCCACTTTAACGGTTTTTAAACGGTATATATATAACCGAGATTACGCTATTTAAATTATTGAGGTTTTTGAATTATATAGTCTCGCATAATTAGCCTCTTTTAGTTTTTAATTCTAAAGACAAGATTAGGTCTAAGTTTTTAGTGACTTAAAGCTGTCTTTCCTTCTAAAAATGAAGATTTGTACTATATCTTAGTATTCTATACATTGTGAACAATATTAAAGACCCTTTCCCTAATTCAAATGAAGCGTCAAGAGATCTATATGGGAGAGCTACTTTAAAAGGGAAAGGAATATCTCATCATTATTAGGTCTAATTAGATTTTATTCCTTCAGACGTTTATTACTATTATTTCCAATTGTAGTCACAAAGAGACATGTACTTTCGTTCGTTTCTTCAACTCTTTCATATTGATTTATCAAACATGTGAGAGTCTGTTGACACCATCCATCCCTTGATTCACACCCTTTCGCTTCTTACGTTTTCTTTTCAATTAGACCAATTATGACCATTGAAGGCTCAACCAATCAAAATCTACGACGGAAGAATTATCCTTTTAAATCCAAGGTTGGTATGATTTCAACAGAATATATCTAAAGGCAGTGACTATTTACCACATACGTGTCAAATAGTTCTCGATCATTCGTTAGGCTATTTACCTCGTAATTTAAAAAAAAAATACCTTTTCAAGTGTTTCATCTTGCTTTTACTAAAGAAATCAATGTATTTCTTTTTAAATTGAAATTTAAATTGAAAATCCTTTTAAATAAAGAAACCCAAAATATACTTACTCACAATGATGACGTACAATATCGACATCTTCACCGGCCTTGACATTTTCATCATGGAGTCCTATAGTCAGATTGGCTAAACATCGAAACACATTATTTACAGCATTGGACGGACATGACACCAACAAAGATGGCAGAAATAATAACACAAGGATCCACAGTTCTGAAATAAAAATAGAAAATAAAATGGAATTTTACGTTCTAGTCATTAGCGTATTTAGAGGGAGTTAAAAATTAAGTCCTTGAAATGTTTTAAATTCATCGTAGACCATCTTAAATCTGTAGGAATCCCTGGCCTCAAGAGACACATCTCATTTTTTGGTTATATTTTCCTTCCACGAATCTTATTGGTCGGGAATACAATCCATCACCAATCAAAGTTAGTGACGGTAATATGGATTTCTGACATATGGGCTCGATGCCGTTACCAACTCACAGGTCTTATTGTTTAAAAACAAGTTATCCAGGGGGATGAACAACTCGAAACCTTATTATTACTAGAAGTCCCATATCGATGTAATGCGGTCAGCAAAGCAGAAACGGAGCGACCAATTCTATTTTGCACTTTGTTGATTAATAATAGGCCGCAATGATGACGGGTTAATAGAGCTACATTAGTTCAAGCTAAATGCCTTCATCTCTTCAGACCTCTAGTGACTTCAATATGACAATTTCAATTACTCTGTACATTGATTTCCTTATTATGATATAACAACTCTTTCTGACCAGTTATTTACTTAAAGGGACAGCTTCGCCATTTTCGGTGGTTGATTTGGGCCTTGAATATTTGCAAGTACTGCACAAAAATCGCATAATTCCTTCAAATGTAGACCTCATACTACAAAATTTATGTCTATATATATTGCAGTCAAGGTATAAGACGTATTAGCTTGACATTGAGAAGATGTATAAGACGAAGTTCGTAATAGCTTGACAAGATGTATAAGACGAAGTTCGTAATAGCTTGACATTGTGAAGATGTATAAGACGAAGTTTGTAATAGCTTGACATTGAGAAGATGTATTAGACGAAGTTTGTAATAGCTTGACATTGAGAAGATGTAAAAGACGCAGTTGTAATAGCTTGACATTGAGAAGATGTATAAGACGAAGTTGTAATAGCTTGACATTGAGAAGATGTATAAGGCGCAGTTCGTAATAGCTTGACATTGTGAAGATGTATTAGACGAAGTTGTAATAGCTTGACATTGAGAAGATGTATAAGACGCAGTTGTAATAGCTTGACATTGTGAAGATGTATAAGACGAAGTTGTAATAGCTTGACATTGTGAAGATGTATTAGACGAAGTTGTAATAGTTTGACATTGAGAAGATGTATTAGACGAAGTTTGTAATAGCTTGACATTGAGAAGATGTATAAGACGCAGTTGTAATAGCTTGACATTGTGAAGATGTATTAGACGAAGTTGTAATAGCTTGACATTGTGAAGATGTATTAGACGAAGTTTGTAATAGCTTGACATTGAGAAGATGTATAAGACGAAGTTGTAATAGCTTGACATTGAGAAGATGTATAAGGCGCAGTTCGTAATAGCTTGACATTGTGAAGATGTGTAAGACGAAGTTTGTAATAGTTTGATATTGTGAAGATGTATAAGACGCAGTTCGTAATAGCTTGACATTGTGAAGATGTGTAAGACGCAGTTCGTAATAGCTTGACATTGTGAAGATGTGTAAGACGAAGTTTGTAATAGTTTGATATTGTGAAGATGTATAAGACGCAGTTCGTAATAGCTTGACATTGTGAAGATGTGTAAGACGAAGTTCGTAATAGCTTGACATTGTGAAGATGTATAAGACGAAGTTCGTAATAGCTTGACATTGTGAAGATGTATAAGATGAAGTTTGTAATAGCTTGACATTGTGAAGATGGGTCAATGGCTGTTTCGTATGAATGAATCCATGTTTAGGAATGATTACATATCTTAATTTTTAGAGCGAACCAACAGTATGGCAAGTAAACTTTCAGTGAACACGATAATTTTATATGATTGGGGGTTGTTTTGAAAATAATATAGGCCTTTCACAGTCTGGAAGATTCAAATGAAGCTCATAGTAAACTGAAATCTACAAAATGAACTGTTTTTGATAAAGAATATGAACGTTTTTATTAACTTTTATTAATATAACCACTTCAGTTAGAGTCTAACAACAGCCCTTCAGCGTTCTTCAGGTTAGGTCAAAAGGTTAATTTGATGAACGTCCAAGAGGGCTGTCGTTTGGCCCTAACTTAAGGGAAATAAACAGGGACGAAAGTTTGGTCTAATTTGTGCACTAGAAAAATTTCCCTCGTTGCTCACTGCATGGCGTTGTCCATTTAGCCCAAAAATACCCTCGCATTTCATAACTTTCAAGCGCTTAATCGCAAGAATGGGGTAATCAACTATGGTTCTGTGCACGTTAACGATCCCTCTGTTGTTAGAGAGCCTTCCTATAAAATTTACCTCTCTGCACACCGCAAGGTGTTGGCCCGAGTTCAAAATCCAAGTAAGTTTCAGAAAAGTAGGATAGAAAATAGCATTTCATTTCGTTCCTTCACTTTAATATACTACTTTCTACATTTGACCTGAATTTCTCTGACCGTTGACTTACTTGTCCCGATTGATTAAATTACGATTTCTTATGATATTTCTGAAATAACTAATGTAAACTGTATGTCTACTCTATATAGGTTGATACTTAATGACAGAACTAGAACACCTTCTGTCTCTCTGCGTTTGGGTTTGATTCCATACATAAACAATCACAATCTAAATGGTTTCTCCAACTGGTGGAAATAAAAAGAAGATTTAAGTCACTGTATTTAACCCTAACCCTCCCCCCCCCCCCCCCCCCGCGTTGTCCACTGTGCAGCGTTGTACATATTCATTAAATCAGCCAGGAGAAACAAAGTAAGACGTAAAACTTCATATCGTTTTTTTTTTAATTTTTTCATTAGCCGTAGTCCTGTTGATTAAGAGTTGATCATCTTCCGTTAAGATGTAGGTCGGACGGGCTGACATGGAAAAGTCTTAGCGTCGTTCGGATGGGACAACGAAACGACGTAAAAGAGTGTAGGCTAATGCCGATGTCCTGGCAATATTTCCCTCATTGCATACTGCATGGCGTTGCCAGTCTTCATTAGCCCATACGGCTCAGAGGAGTAGGACGTAATACTCCATTTATTTCACTTATGAATGTAGAAATATAGAAATTTGGGTCGAATTCATTTAAAAGCCATAAAGCGTCATCCCCTGTGAATACTTTATCCATCATTCTTCATATAGCTCGGTCACCTATCAAATTTATATCTTCCTTTTAATATTTATTTTCATAGCCAATCTTTAATCAACAAGAAAGGCAATTTACTTTGGAAATTAGGTGGCATCAATCATACACGAGAAAAAAGTAGCTCAGATCGTCTGGTGATACTGGATCTTCGATGAAACTTTAGATGGGGCGGCGAAGGAACCAAAGGACAATACTTTCTCTGTGGGGGGGGGGTTGTCCGAATTTCTAACCGAGTTATGAGATTTTTCGCCCGAAAAACAAACGAATAACTTTCGTGATGTTATGAAATTGGTTGACTAAATCATTCAAAATTTAACGAGCCCCTTTCTAAAGCAGTGAGCACAAAGATATATATGACAATAAAATCCCAACCGACCATAAGCACAAACCGGAAGTGAAAAATATGGCGCGAAAATGGGCAGGAAATTCGCATATATATTGCCAGATTTGTCTCCTTAAACTGACAATTATCAAGTGAAGCTGATATGTAATACATAAAAGAAGTGGGTCTATAATTCCATTAGAAGTATATCTTCGGCATTATAATTTCGTTTACTAGACAATGTAAGAGGCCTGGATAATATCACTATCGACATTTCTTTCTATACAGCTGTTAGTCATTGTCTCATCTCAACTTTCTATTACCCTTTCTAATCCTTCTACAAAGTTTAATAGCTTTTATAGATAAAGGTTAGTCTATGTAAGAGTTTTTCAATAATCCTTTAGGACAGGAACTTAGGGACCAGTCTATTTATTGTTAACGAGGGCAAGGTCTTCCTTTATCTAGCCTATAATATCCGAACTTTGTTGACAAATTCTGAAGCCTACGTAGCTTTCTAAAGCTAAGCGTGCAAAGCTAGTACGTAATGCGCATTTCGTAATGTGTTGTGCGCAATGCACACAATGGCGACACTAGTCTCTTGAGACTGGAGGTACAAAAAGTGGGCATACTGACTTAATTGGGGACGACTGTGGTAGCTCTAAGGGTGTGGATAAGTTAAATTCCATTAGAACGTCTGACAGAGTTCATTCAAGAAAATTTTCGACAAAAAATTGGCGCCGACACTGAACGTACATAAACGTTCCTTCATTAGTAAACGAGCCTACGCATTGTACATTACGTATGACGTATCTCTTGGTGACTAGCTATAGTTTTGGTTAAAGAAGCTATTTAAGATAACATTCCCTTTTTTATTTTGCCTCTCCCAAATTTGCATTATAATGTTCTGCCGCTTTACAAGATGGCGGCCAGTATGTTTCACTATGCCCTGGAGATAAAACTGTGGAATTACCAAATTATTAAGCAATGATATACCTTGTGTTACACAAATAACCAATTAGCCGATGAAATAGCTATATCAAGTTGATTCGTGAAACTTTCACGGTAGCCAGAAAGTGTTAAGATCGTTTTAATGTTTTTGGACACGCCATAAATTAGTATTTTTACTGGCTCTTAACAGTTCCTCGGACGTGATCAAGAGATGATGTATCGGCACGTTAACCATTAACCATTTGTCCATCCGAATATCACGTCGTGTGAACGGGCAGAGCCATATTTCGCCTGGCTAGAGTTTTACGTGATATTTTTTTGATAAACCGACTACTGAACTATCAATCAATTGGTTCGTTCTGTTTGTATTAAGGCGTGCCCTGGTGAAGGAGACTTTTGTTCATAGCAGCTAATGGCGACTTCTAAGATTTTCAGTTATCAGACAACAAAGTTTTACCGTACAACTGACAGGATGTTAGAAGAATTGCAACCAGTGGCAGCACCAGTAGTGCGAAATTTGAGCCTACAAATCCATGTGTGTCCAGAATTATCCGCGTGTGAATGTTTAAATGACGACTCGTCAATTTAAGATACTCTGTGATATATAGAAAAGATATCTATAGAAATAATGAGTAAAATTCTGAGTTTTAGATATTTTTAAAGGAATTATGAGAATTCTATATATTTTAAGGACTCAAATCAACCCTCCAAATTGGCGCACCTGTCCCTAGCTGAACTCTGTGTATATGTAAATCTTGGCGTTCACATTGCTCTCAAGTTATTATAGCGCTTATGTTCACAATATTTAGACGAGTATATCCCTTTAACGCGAAAAGCGTTGGCGAAGTTGAATGTAGCGTAGCTTGATTCTGTTTACTATGTGAAACTCAGGTTTCACACTGCTATTAAGTTATTAGGTCCACAGCGCCAATGTAGAAAGTTAATTCCGCTCCGCTAGCATACCATAACCGTAACTAACTAAATAATCTTTCTAAAGATTAAATCAATGTGCGACACACAAACAATAGGATTATAGCGGGTATCGATTTAAAGATTATTACGTTATTTAAACTATGCTGGCCCATCACCAGAAATCAATGTTTATTGTGAATCTAGAATGAAGAATTTTAGTGAGGCCTAACGGTGCGAATACACGAGCTGTCTTGGTCGAGATTATCGCGTCGCCGACAGGATTTATAATATCAAACAAGTTTGATAATTGTGCATGCTCCGTACGTGATTATCGACTAGGTGGAAAACGACCACCAACTGGAGATATTCTCATCGTGTGCCGTGCCAGTTGTTGAAACTCAAGACAAGGCACTAATCGGCGACAAAAGTCTCCGACCAAGACCGCTCGTGTGCCCGCCCCTTAAAGAATTATATTGATGTAATTCTGTCCGCCAAGACAAAGACTGCCTTTTAGGAATTAAAGCGCTTATTACGAAATCTGGTCAAATGAACGCAATCACAAGAAGAATTTATTCAGATCATGTATAGTGAAACAAATTGCTATACATTTTAATCAGATAGTTTTAAATCACAAAGGTCAAACGAAGCGACGTGAGAATTAAAAAGGAAGATGGAAAATGCTGATTTGAATGAAACCACGCGGAAGACAACAGATCAAATGCAAACCACAGTAATAAGGTTTCATAACAATGTTATATATGGCTTCGATTGTTAGACATTAATTTAAAACAAATTGAAAATTAATTTTCGTTCAAACAGAAAATAAAAACCAGATCGTGTCAAATGTCAATTATTTCACGAAAGGAAAAAAATCATGTTTGATTTGTATGGTAACTGTGACGCCATGTTGTCAGTTTATGTTACATTAACCTTAGCGTCCTCATGCTCGTGCCAATAGCTCAGCAAGTAACTCGCCTGGATGTCCCTGTCTAGATCTCGGCATAGGTCGAGTTTGTACAAGATCTTCTCGTAATTCCTTCCATAACATCTAAAACTAGGAATTTCTTCTCCTATTTCTAAAGATGTCTTTTCTACATATGGCAGCGTCTCAGAAAAGACAACTCGTCTTTTTAAATTTTAAACGCGAATAATTCTGGACACACATTGATTTGAAGGCTCATATTTCGACAATGAGTTGTGAACATATTACTGGTTGGCTTAGCTAAAGAAAATTCCCGTTTCTGAGACTAAGGTAATATTGGTTGAAAAATGGCGCAACTATTCCTTTAAAACCTTATGTCCACCGAGTCAGTAAATGCTGGGGTAAGGGGCTGACATGGAAAAATGCAATGGTGAGCCAGCAGGGGCATTATCTATTTCTAACATATCGGCATCACATCGCCTCATGCTCACAGACGGTTGGCACCATAACTGTCTCTGACAGTTGGATTCACCATGTTTAACAAACAGTTTCACAGACCGTAGGCATCAGCCTGTTTCACTCAAAGCTGACATCACTTTGACATTTTGTTTGAATGACAATAAAGTAGGCATCAGCTGACGTCACCATTTAAAAAAAAAATGTTGGCATTGTTCTCAATAATCGGAAGGGACATCGCCACTTCATCACCGACAGTGTCATCACCTCTGCGTTAGTGACAGTCAGCATCACCTCTTTGTAAAAGACGATAGGCATTACCACATCACCACCCACAATTGACACCATCTCTGTCTCAATGACAGTGGGCATCATCCCTGTGTCACTGACAGCTAGCAATACCACTGTACCAGCGACAGCTAGCATCACCCCTGAAGAGAGAGGACATCTCCCTACATAATACACAGGGGCATCACCTCTTTCTCACAGACGGGTTCTCTCTGAAATTTGGCATCACCAATGAACAACCAACAGGGGGCATCACCTTGCATTGCTTCACCACCATTACCGACACCGAACTAATGCAAAAATGAAAGAAAATTAACTTACCTTGAAACTGTCTTGGTGTCATTGCCTTGGATCAGACATAAAATCACATTTAAGCACATCAATGTTCATTTTCTTTTTAAGAACTTTTTCAAGTAGATTTTAAGTATTTTTAGTGCTCGTTGAACTTTGAAATAAAGTCTGAGAACATAAAAAAAAGCCGCGTTATATGTAAAGAAGTAATCAGTAATGTTGGTGGAATAGAATGGTACGATCAAGACAAGAAAAACCAACAGGCTTGTTACCTTATTGATTTACCACACAACTTCAACATCAGTTTGTTGGGAATATTTTAAAGGATGACAGCCGAGATTTTTTCTTGTATGAAAAACTATGTGATATAATTCTGTTAGAAAAGGCAAATTAAAATATCACAGTTTTGAATTTTCAAAACGAAAAACTATCTTAGTTAGTTCTGTGAGTAATGGTAACTTAAAAAGGCCACAGTCTTAAAGAGATTGTAAAGATGTTTTCTACATTTTGTATGCGTATCGGCGACACTGATAGCACCAATTTGCACCATTCGAATTTTCAATCAGACGTCTGTGGATCTTGCAATTCCACTAAAACTAAGTGTTTTATGACGTCACCCCACAAATATTGTATCACAAAAGACCTTTGCGGGATGACAGTTTTAGTAGAATTGCTAGAACCACATACGCCTGATTGGAAAATGAAATGGCGCACATTGATACATATAGAAAATTTAGAAAACCTCTTTACAATCTCTTTAAGAGTATGAAAACTAAGTATGATATATTATGTCAATTAATTCTGTCAGAAATAGCAGATTAAAGGTTGACAACCTGGAGATTGCAGAGATATTTGGGCCAATGAAAAGCATCGCCTCAAAAGCAGCAAAATAATGAATTTTCCACAGATTGGGGTTAGAAGGGGACCGGGTCTCCAGTAAAGAGACTGACCCTGGCCTCCCAATTTTTAATTTATTATCATTAACATATAGAAAGATCCCCTCCACCCCACCGATATTTTTCCGCAACCCAACACCAACTAACCCCAGCCTAATGATTCACGGAGACACTGATGACGATATAAAATGATATGAATCCACGACTAAATGGAATGTACCGATCGAGTTTCATTATAGATTCCCTTTAAGTTGTAGTTTCATTCTGATCACATAAAACTGTCGTTTCCCGTTAGTTTTAAAAGATATTTCCGTAGGTGTTCATGAAATGAATATAGTTTTTAAACATTTGTTTTCTTAGCTTAAAGAGCTGGGGTCTAATTGAAGCTATCCGTATTACTTTTCAGAATGAAAAATAAAAGTCCGGTTCGTCTGTAATTAAAAAGACATCCACAGATGGAAGAGATCACAGAATAAATATCTGGCGCCGCCTATGTATGTATTAACAAGCAGTGCACCATCTGTTAGACCAATCATACTTAGTCTCAGAAACGGAAATAATTTAGCTAAGCCAATCAGTAATAGTGTTCACAGCTCACCATGTGTCCGTGTTTGTAACGAATTATCCACGTTGAAAGTTAAAATGACGACTCGCCTTTTCTTGAGACTCCACCATAATATAGAAAAGAAATACAGAAATAGAAAGTGAAAATCCTAGTTTGAGATATTTTTCGAAGGGATTATGCAATTTTCATACATTTCTAGTACTTCTGGAAACTTTTAACATAATATTCAAGACCGAAATCAACCCCCGAACTTGTCCCTTTAAGGTGAATTATATCTGCGACTGAAAAAGGGCAAAATCAGCTAAGAGCAAAGCTTAAAGACCCCCTACGACGATCACATATTTCATACGTAATAAACCTCATCTAAAGTCAAAAAATATAATTAAAAAAAACAAGACTTGGTGGGATTGAGAAATAATAAGCAAAATGTTTTGTTCTATAAAAAACCCGTTATAACGAGAATTTATATTATTTTTAGAGCAATTATAAATCTTCCTACAAAACGAGAAAAAAACAAACTTTGTTAACAATTAGCAAAGTACAACAGAGTAAGAAAACGCGATGGCTTAGAATAGCATTGTTTCCAGTTTTCCACAGGTTTTTAAGTGCATCGGGTTCATTATGGCTTCTTAATTTGCTGTCAGACGTCTGCGGTTAACGTAATTATAAAAATGCTTAACTGTATATGACGTCACTATCGCAAAAGCTGCTAATAATAATATGGGCCTTTGCGATAGTGACGTCATCAACGGTTAGTTTTAGTGGAATTCCAAGAACCACAGACGTGCGATTGTAAATTGAAATGGTGCCAATTGATGCTATCAGTGTCCTCGATACACGCAAAACATTTAGGATCGCCTCTACAATCTCTTTAAGCCACTGAACAAAGACGCCATTTAAGCGGTGTTTTGATGATCGTCTGCGGCAATTCGTAAAGCTCTCTGCCAGACCCTTTGTCGCTGATAATGATACGTGACCTCGAGAGTGCACCAAGTAAACATCGTACCAAAAGTTACCGCGACGCAAAAAAGCAAGAAAGATAAGCAAATTGAAAACATAATATAGGAATCGTTGACGCTCTTGTGGCTGCTCCAAGGATCCGACGAAATAGTCTGAAACTGCTTGTCTGTGCTGACGGTCAATACGCCAGCTACGATCGACATCACCGTTAAAAACACCAATAACGATCCCATTAACGCCCTCTTTTTCTTGGTTATAGGCCGAAGATTTGAGTATTGCCTAAATAGATCGGCTAATTCCTAAAAAATAAAAAAATAAAATAAAAGGAAAATAACCATGAAATAACGAAGTTTTACGTCCTAATTTTCTGGGCCAATGAAGACAAGCAACCAAAATAGTTTCAATGGATCGATGTGGCGGAGTTAAAGGCCAGATGTGTCTCTGAGATCATTTTTCATGAAAACAACATGCAGTGTGCAATGAGGGAAATTTTTCCAGTGCAGTGCCATTAACTTACTTTGTGAAAACAACCAACCAAAATAGTTTCAATGGATCGATATGGGGGGGTTGAAGGTCAAAGGTTTCTCAGAGATCATTATTCAGACCTATCAAGATTTGATGTAAGAATTGATAATTATTGATATCCCGATCACTTATCAACTAAAAATCGATGAGAAGGGCTACTAATGGTGTTAAGTAATGGCCTAATTCCAGCAATTTTGTTATTATGGGAAATATGACACAATCCCTGATTTTGTTTGTGAAATTTCACAAGATAAACATTGATCGCTAATTGAGTATTTATATATCTGTCCAAAGTTTCGCTTTACCAGCTGATAAAATTTATTTCGAGCTACCCATATCACTCTTCAGAATGTAAACATAACTTTAGGTTTTACAATTAAATAAACAAATGCCTTTTAAAACTAACAACGATGTATATATTATTGCTGTTTTTGAGGAAATGCTGATGTTAACGTTTCAGATGCATTGATCGCCCACTTCCGTTGGTTCAACCAATCTGGTCTTATTGTAGACGGACAAAGCGCCGAAATTTCAAAATTGAAGGCCATCCAGATAGCTTAAATTGGGCACTATCAGCTTGGAAATCAAAATAATTCGGTGATTATAATCTTTTTTAGCTTTCTCATGTAAGAAGCTCCCACTTGTATTAATCCGTATGCAGCCGGATATGACGCAGTTATGTATGAAACCGGATATGACGCAGTTATGTATGCAACCGGATATGACGCAGTTATGTATGAAACCGGATATGACGCGGTTATCTCCAAGATCCCGGTGTATATAAATCCATTACAGAGAAGAAAACTTCCTTGGTTCAAATTACCTGCTGGCGCTGCTCATCAGACGAAGACCTTCTGGGTAGATTGGGAGCGCTGGAAAACTCGGAGGAACATACTTCACAAATTCTAGTACCTTTATAATGAACCCACTCTAATAAACAGCTTCTATGTATAGCATCTAAATACCCTTTACAATGACAATCAGATGTTTTCACTGGCTCTCCTGTTAAAAACAAAAATCTTTAAATGAAATGAAATGAATGGAGTTTTACGTCCTACTTTTCTGCATCATGTGGGCTAATGAAGACGGGCAACGCCATGCAGGGTGCAATGAGGGCAATTTTGCCTGCTCTGTTTCGATTTCCAATTATCGAAGGATCTTTATCGTGCACAGCCTGTAGCACATGGGGCCTCTCTGACAGAGAGGAATGGGGTGTTCCGAGCTCTTGATATTAAAATATAAACGAACATCTACCTGTTTCAGTTTCGCTGAGTTGACAAATTCGACACGTAATGGATGAATTAGACGACTCGTGCGACTGACACGTCACGCTTTCACAACTGGTATTCTCTGGCGGACTGGTACTTCCGGTTGACTGGAAGAAAAAATGCCGATAGTTTAAAGGGACAGCTTCCAAAATTTTCAATATTAAAAACGTTGTAAATATTACAAGAAAGTATATCTTTAATACGCATTTTTCTATGTTTCCACTCGAGCAATCTGAACTTGTTTTAAAATTAGATTAATTAAAACAGCGCTTAGGCCTACTGATCGTTAATTAAGAAGCAATTTTAACTGGTTTTGATGCAATAACAGCTCGATATTTTATCTGAAACCTTCTCATTTTTCTCTAAAATTTTGCTTATATCCGTTCAAAACATAGCGAATTTAAAAGACTTACGTAAACCTTTTAAACGGCAAGACGTTCTAGTTAAAACTTTCAGATAACTTAAGGGAACACATTTCTTAAGAAACTATTTACTAAAGTGTGTTGGACATGTTTATCATTGCAGATCATCCCGATATAAGCTAAGTTATAACTCCTCGGGTAAAATACTTTGCTAAATAAATGAATCAACAATGTCCACTTTGTCGGCGATATCAGCTTTAGTTGCAAGAACGTTATCTTGACATCTACAAACCAAACACGTCCGTCTAGTAGACATCTAACTGTGTTTCAAGTATCAAAATATACTCGCTCGATATATATCTTGAGTAAAATGGTCTTATTAATGTCGCTTTGATATAACTCGATTAGGTATTTACTCTTAAACTTCTAATGTAATTTCATCCATCAGATATATGATTAAACTAATGCGACTAATGATCTATCAAAGGGGCATGAGTCAGACTATACCAGCATTTGATGAACAGATTGATTTTGGGTAGACAAGGATTTAGATCTATATCTAGCCTTTGATGAACAGAAAAATATATCGTGCTTTTATTAAATGATGATGAAGCTTGAACAAGCAAGGACCGGGACAGGCCCGAAGCAACATGGGGGCAAATTCTGACAACAGAACAATTCGATTACTGCAACGAAATACAACCATTGCGCCTCTGGATATATTACTTGCCCCTGAAGGTGGGCCGGGAAAATAGAGGGAGTGGTGGTAGTGGGTACAACGTTTTTGGGGCTCCAGAATTTGACTGAAGTTTTGCTGCCCCGTTACGTCTATGGTTCTGCAAATTTTGGAAAGGTTCATCCCCCGTCGGCGTCAGGTTTGTGCCAGTTTCCTTATCTAATCATGTCATTCAACGATTAAAAACACATAATTTACCGCATTCTTCTTGCAAACCGAACTGGAACAGGGGAGTGCCTCGTCTTCCATTTTGAACGAGACTGATTTTCGGCTCTGACACTGATGGCAAGTAGCAGACGTGGATGGAGTGGAATTACCATTGTCTTCTGTAGTTTGAATGCTGCCACTCGGAGTCTGTATCAAATTCACGGTATCGTCTGTTACATCATCGTTTTGAATTTCGAAATTCACGAGAGCTACAGTTTCAGGATTCGCCACGTCCGAATGCTGCTGGGTGTTGCTGTTGCCATCGACATCGTTGTTGTAGTTGCCATCATTGTTGTTGGTGCCATCGTTGTTGCTGGTGCCATCGTTACCACTTTCTCGATGATCACTCTCGGATGGTGATATCATAACGACAGTGACTTCATTTTCCTTTCGACATAAATCATGTTGACTTCAGTGGGCCAATATCACCATACGTGGTGAAAAGATAAGAGTTCCATTATGACGTCATAAAGCGCTTACGCTATATAAGTTACTGGATTCCGATATCAACCAATAGAATTAGAGAACCATTTCTCTATTGTCTATAGGGCATTTACTACAGCACAGCACAGCAATACAGCACAGCGCGGGGTTGGGGTGGGCGTATGTTTTTATTACTTCAATCGTTACATTCCTGGGGTTGATTTCCTGTACTCCCGAGACTGTGGGTGCAAATAGCTGGCTGAATAGGGGGGGGGGGGGGGGCGAATTTCCAGGATAAGGCGACAACTCAGTGGGGGGCTTAGACGCAAGCCTCCCATGGAGAGTCTGAGAGGTTTCTTATGGAAAACAATTAGCATTTCTTACACAAGAGGGCCGTTAATTTTTTTTCCAAATCGGAAATTTTTTAAACGATGTTTTCGTGTGAGAATAAATGTAGAAATGTTTCAGCTACATACAGCTGAATTAAGTTTTATTTCTGTATCCATTGTAATAACTAGTGGATCTAATTTTGTGGGTTTAATCACTTTCTGAAGAATGTATATATTTATCACTTATGTTTTTTTTCTTCCTATGCTTTATGTCTGGATAATGACAAATATTTGAGCTGCCCTGTGGGTCATGACTGGAAAAAAGGACCAAATCAACAGCCCCCAGTCTCAGACTGAAACTAAGGAACGATTATTGAAGATTGTTAAAAAGGGGTATTGAACAACAGAGTTACAGATGCTAACACTCCTATGCCAAGGGGACTATTTGTTTGGTACTTTAGTGGCCCATTAGTAACTTCTTGGTTCCTTGCTTGCAATGTACGGGAGATTCGTGTATTCTCAACTATAAGACTACAAACAACAAGTAAATGATTTTATTTGAAATCACTGTAAGTTGTCTTTAAGCTAAGCTACACAATATGCCTTTGTCCGTTTCAGAGACATATATAATTACACTGTTAAAATCTTTAACAACAAAATTTAACAACAACAAAATAGTGTTCCCATTATGCAACAAGAATGTTGATAAATAAAATGATAATAAGACCAATAAAATAACTTATGCACCAAATATTTTTAACATAGGAGACTAAATTCCTATATCAAGCATTCATAATAACATAACATATGAAAAAGTATTTAAAATACATTATTAAGCATTAATAACAATAGAAAAAAATCATACTTTTAAATAAAGCATTGATAATATACAAAGCAAACATACATAATTAAGCATTAATAACAATAGAAAAAAATCATACTTTTAATTAAAGCATTGATAATATACGAAGCAAACATACATAATTAAGCATTAATAACAATAGAAAAAAATCTTACTTTTAAATAAAGCATTGATAATATACGAAGCAAACATACATAATTAAGCATTAATAACAATAGAAAAAAATCATACTTTTAAATAAAGCATTGATAATTAATGAAGCAAACATAATTAAGCATTAATAATATATTCAAATATTCATTGATAAAAGAATTATGAAAGAAATATAATAAGCACTTTAATAATGGCCAATTCAAACATTAATAACGCGGGATGTAAATAATATTTTGTTCTTTGTGTACAAATTTTTTTCTTGTTCTGAGTATTAATGGATGACAAAATAAAAATTATGCAGTTAAAGAAAATATTCAAAGACATCACAGGAATATATTTTGCAAGTCTTTGGGATGACAGAATAGTTTCTCAATTAATTTTCATCTATTCATTCATTCATTTACACTATTATGTTATAAATATCCCTTGAGGATTCCCTAAACCATGTTCAGGAAACTTTTCTACTATATATACTTATTGACGCAGCGTAGACATTTTTCTACATTCTAATATAAGAAAAATCATACAATCAAGATATTAGGCACATCAGACTTCACCTTCTCTAGCTATTTGTCCTTATCATTAGAAGTGCTAGTGCTAGGCTTAGTTTTAGGAAGGTAGGACTGCGTGACCTGATTAGAAATTATTAAAGATATAAGTACTACACATCCAATGGACATATAAAACGATGATCCTTTGACATTTTTCATATACCAATTTGACATCATACCAAGGATAGTGGTAGCTGATGCCAGCATAAATAACATCAGCCCAGCTGTGGCGTGATACATCTTCAAATCCACTAGCCGAATTCTGACACCTTTCAACAATTTTTGGCTGTATTTCACACAAACACCCCCCATTACCTCAACGCAGGCAAAAATGACAGTAATAAGTCCCAGTAATCCATGCCAGGATTTGAAATGTGGTTTATCGTTTAAATGTTTGTTGTACATGATAGCTGTCAGTCCTAATAAGGCAAACACAACACCAGTGGTCATGCAAACCCAATGTGCCGTTACTTTAGATGGTCGTGACCAACTTCCCACTAAGGAACTTTCTCTTGAGAACATCAATATTCCTTCAAAAATCATCATCATGAACTGTAAAATAAAGAAATATATCAGTTATTTCAGAATAATATCCTTTTAAAAGGATGGAAAATGGATTTGCCTTTGTGATATTGAATAGTAATGTCATTAAATGTTTAGTTTGGGAATTGCAGGTACCACAGACATCTGATTGAAAATTGGAATGTTACAAATTGATATATCAGGGTCCGTGATGCACATTAAAGGTTAATTAAACCTCTTTACAATCCCTTATGACACATATCATCATAGCTTCTGATTTCATTTAGTTTATTTAACAGTTAATTAAATTAATTGTAAGGCTTACAGATAATGCCATAAATGTTGGATGCCATGAAAACAAACCTGAAAATACAAATAATACAATTAGGCATAGAATTAGAAATTAAATACAGGAAATCAGTTCCTGTAGTCTAGTCCAAAACATGGAACATGTCATGCATTTATTTTTGCAAAAATATTCTTTATATTCCAGTTCTTTTCTGCTAATTCATGTGTGGATAGGTATTAAGGGGTGTAAGCTGACTATGGGCTGACTGGCACAGGCTTAAAAAAAAGTTTCTCTGACTATATCATCATTCATTAGGATTATCGTTTGTCAGAGATTGCCAGATACCATGGAATTCGTTACTTACTTGACCCAGGCCAAGCTGTATAAATGATGAATCCCGTCAAAAGGACGGTGACAAAGTGGGCAACCATTTTATAATGCGATTTCCTTTTTCGACAGAGTGCTTATGAGGATAAAATAGATTTAAAAGTGTAAAGTTCAAAATGTGTTATCTTTGGCAACCATGTTGTTTATATTTTGTACGTTACTTTATTAAACGTCAAGAAGAATTTAATAACACATTCGAAATATGCAAATAAGCCATTTACTAGATTGATCAAATGTATTTGAATGATTCCTGCCATCATTTCAAAATAATTCCCGGAATGACTTGAAAACTAATTATTTTAAAAGAATTTTTCGTTTTTTTAAGTATTTTGATATAGATGAAATTTGACGGTGTCCAAGGGGAAGTAACTGGTGAAGAATAAATCGAAAGAATGATTGAATCTATCTTTTACAGTGAATTTCATCCCATTGCAGGACCCCAAATCGTTTACCAGGTAAGATATCATTTGAGTGCCCATTCTTGTATTGATTCCTAGCGCTGACAATGTCGGGTTTTGAATTTTGATGCAGAATAAGACGTCTGCAAAATTTTGTCGCAATTTTTCAGACTACAGCTAACTCTTAATTTCTTAATTTTCATAACTTCAATGCTTTGCTTTGTGTATTGCAGGTGCCAGAAGATTACATTACTAAAGAAGAATTTGATTCAGTTCATATTTATATCATAACAAAACCAGATTTACAGAAAAGTGTTATCACTGTGTAAGTAGACCATTCATAGTAGCCCATGAATCAGTCAGTCGACCAGTGAGTAAATGCACGCTCAATATGGGGTTTGATCCTTGGGAGGCCTAAATAATAAGACCTAGTGCTTCAGGCTGTAGGTGTTAAATTCATTGACAGTTGCAAATGCAAATGCAAAAAGAGTATACTCTAACTCCTGGAAAATGTGTTCATTGCACACTGCATCATGCTTCCCTTCCTTACTGGAAAATTTGGAGCTGAAAAGTAGGCTATATGGCTGCTGATGACATTAGTTTTCTCTTCTATTTCTAGGAATTTATCTCAACATACTATAGTCTGTTGCCCTGTGTGTATAGAAAATCCAAAATATAAAAGAAATGCCCTAATATTCAATCTATGTTTAGCTTTTAAAAAGGATTCTGTCACATGGATTTACGAATCTGTAGTAAAAAAGCTGGCTTCATATTTGACACAAATGGAGGTATGCACTTAAAAATTTGTTGAATAATGATTTCAAATGTGACTAACTTTGTTTTTTTTGGCGATAGGAGTTAAAAGCTGAGTTGACATTCAAAAGCACTGGCCATGGCTTCAGATTGTTTTTCTTTCCTTGTGAAGGATTGAAAACATGGCCACTTAGACCTTAGCAGACGATAATCCAACTTGCAATCACCTGAGCTATTCCACTGAATAATGTCTTGGGTTCATTAAAGGGAGAGAAGCCAGAAATAGAAATTCCTAGTTAGATATTTGATATTTAGATATTTTTGATTTTTGAAATTTTCTTACATTTCTAATACTTTTGAAGACTATTAACATATATTCAAGAGACAAAATCAACCCCCCAACATGGCACAACTGTCTTTTTTATGCCACATAATAGAGTTTTCTACTTGGTTAAAAATAGAATGTACACAAAGAATTATTAAAATTTCATCTGGGTCTCCATCTTTGATTTCTAATATATTTTTTTTTAAGCTAGAAAATGAGTTTTTATTCAGTGAAGAGAAGAAGAAACAAATTCCAAGTTTTTTGAAGAAAGTAAAAGATCATCTGAATAACTATGGCTACTGTAGAACGACAGTAACTATGGGTAAGGTTATCTGCATAATTAAATTGACCCACACCAAGTTAAAGATGGGTTTCTTTATTTTTTAGTGTCAAATTAAGCAAACTATTTGATTAATTGGTGTTTCTAATGAATTATCATATAATTAAGGGTTTAAGCCAATCTTAAATGTTCATGTATGTACAGTCTGGATAAACAAGAAAAGACCCTTTAACCTTTCTTGATCGGTCACTCATTGGAAATCTTCTGGTAATTCTCTTCTAATTTAGCTAATTATGAATAAATTATAGACATGTGAGACAAACTGGTATTTTTCTACTTTCTATTCATATAAGTAATATGATAAATAAAAATAAGGGAACCTGTTTGTAAAGGGATTGACTGACTTTTTAAAGTTTTTTACAGGAGAGTCATGTACAGTACATCTTAAGATAGCTCAGTGTGTCAGTGATCCTCCTATTATAGAAGAATATGATGTACCTGTTTTAATTCAAGATAAACTAGTGACTGACTATACTTGGGATTTAACAACACAACAGGTAATGTTGCTTATCATATACTGTATATTTGTGAATATAATGCACACTTTTTGTCACATGATGAAATCTGTTTCTATGTTCATTCTAAGATGAAGGTTGACAAGTTGGTAAAATGCATGAGAATGTTTTGCTAACTTAGTGAAAAATTTACCTCATTCGAAATTACAGGGGTATTTAATTCACAATAACTTGAAATATTAAGCGTTTTTGAATAATTACTTGAGAATTTTTTTTTATGGATGTATGAGACTATACAGGGATTCTGTTGTATAGTTATGACACCAGGTAAGTTCAACTGATGAATATAAACTCCTCTTGTTAAATATGAGGATTAAAATTTATGTTCATTTTAAGAGGAATAATTCCTTTACAAATCAAATCCAGAGTAGATACAAAGAAAGTAAAACTCCATTTCATTTCATGTCAGATTCTACACTATGTGGATGGATCTTCCCATGTAGCTAAGATAGCCAGTGAAGCTGATATAGAGGTGAATAGAGTGAAAGCTTGTCTTCAGAATCTGCTACACTATCAGGTTATACAGAACCTCTCTATATTTCAATATTCCAATGTCTACACCATCACACCCCAGTTACAACAGCTAGCTACTGATAAACAGCTTCAAGAAGAGTGTATTCAATTTGTTGGTAGAAAAGGTAAGTAGTAGCCTAATCTAGTTAAAATTTTGTTTCTTTTATCATATAATTTGTCTCCATTGTAATCTAACAAGTTTTCTACCACAGTCTTGTTCTAACGACATTACTTTTAACCAATCAAAGTGTGTCATGTAGGTCCTGTTTCTTGTGTGTGTGTGTGAGTGAGTGAGTGATTTTATAGAGCTACAACCCTCTCTTTTGTTAGGTTTTTACCTTCGGATTTTTCAACCTGGTTTCTCCCTGTCAGTGATGCAGGTAACATGGAAAAAGCGTCTAGTCGTTCGGATGGGACAATAAACCAAGGCCCCGTGTTCTACAGGCTGTGCACTTTAAAGATCCCTCAACAGTTGAAAATCAAAAAGAGCAGGCTAATTTCCCTCATTGCACCCTTCATTCATTTCATTTGTGTTATGTTTTTTTTAGAGAAGAAACAACCAACATTTTATGATATTTATAAGATGTATTGTAGTTTAACAGCTGGTATAACAGTAAAAGATATCTGTTCTAGATATAATCCACATAGTCTACTTATTGATGAAAGGTATCAGTACTAAATACCTTTTGCTTTAGGGAACCTCATCTTAGCTAGTCTAATACACCTCGGAATACACCTATTGTTCGTGTCACATTATCCTGTCACATGATTGGTTAAAACAGAGGTCAAGCAAAGGTTAACAGAATGAAAGTCACGAAGGACAGTGTTAGACCTTACTATAGTGGTTACGTACAAAGATAATAGTTAATAAAACATTCGAAAGGAAACTAATGAAATACGAATGGAGGTTAGGTCAAATTTGAATTAGTCTGAGTGAGTTAGGTGCTTGCTTGAAGGTCCAGAGTTCAATCACAGCATGTCAAAGGGGTAGAGGTATATAAAAAAAGTGTATAACTCTCAATAAGATAAAGAATGAGGCCCAGTGTGCTACAAAAAACTTGATAAAGATCACTTGATATTGCACTGACAAAATTTCCCTCATTGCATACTACATGGCATTGACTGTTCCTTAATCTAATAAGGTGCATTTCATTTGCTTAGTTTGGGAAAAAAAAGTTGAAATAGAGATTCACTGCCAAGTAAAGAAAACAGGTAATACCATGCAGTAAGCAATTAGGGGAACTGTGACAGTGCTACCACCTGATAAACTAATCGATGAAAAGAAGTTTTTTTTTTTTTTTCAGAAAGTTACTACAGTATGGATTATTAAAAGGTTTTATAAGAAGACTCCATAAATATCCTATAAAACTCCCAACATCAGAAACGGAATCCAGCAAACAGTCACTATCTTACCAGATGTTTGATGGTTGTCATCATTTTGATGAAATCTGTTGTAAATATGGTGGGTATCTCTTCCAAATCACAAATACAATCAAAAAGTTGGTGCATGGTGTTCCCATTTTTAGCCCATTCATCTGCAGTGAAGTAGCACCTAAAATTCCATTCATTTCATTAAAATAGTCCTTCTCTTTTTCAAATTTCTCATCAAACTTTTTCTTTCAGGACTCAGCAATGAAAACCTGGATGAATTAATTGAAAGTGACCCAAGTATTGTTATATGTTGGAAATAGAGAAATTCTATTCCAATCCTTTGAATTAGGAAAAATAAATAGAAATTCCACCATGTGTGCAATAAAACACAAGAAAACGTGGCAATGTGAAACCTATTGTAATAGAGGATACGCACAGAAAGAAAGAAAGAAAGAACTATATGTTACAAGGATAACAACGAAGGTTCACAGTTAAGAATGTTTTCTACCAGCTGATCCTTGGTCAAATCTCTTGACATTGATCTTTCCCGGATTATCCTTACCCATTTACAGCTGGGTCGACTGGAATTATGAGGAAGGACAACTTATTTAAGGTTGCCAGGCAGAGATAAGAGTTTAGTAAATGATGTCATTTAAAGATTGCAATGCTCTAACTGACTGTGCTACAGCCGGTCCTCTTTAGTACATTGATAGTAAGAGATAGGAATTAGCTGTAGTCTGTGCTACAGAAATTTTATGTGTATCGGTGACACTGATAGTATCAATTTGCTCCGTTCCAATTTTCAATCTGTGGTTCCTGCAATTCCTGTAAAACATCACAAATTATTGCTATTGTGTTACTGATACACATAAAAATTTAAGAAAAACCTATTTACAATCCCTTTAAGGTTATTATTTGTTTTATGTAAATATGTAAATGAGTAATGCATTTGATTAAACTGTTAAGATTTATTATTTTTCTACGACTAAATTTTTGTTGTTCTGCCCGTAAATGGGAATAGGGATATATGAAGACCCAATCCAATGATGATATCTCTCAAAGGTGTATGATTCATCTGTGAGATGGAACCCTTGATGCAACAGATTATGAAATTGGCACAAGAATAGGGACATAAACTAAGAAAACAAATTCCTAAAAGTTGCATATATTTAATTCTATTATTTACAGTCTGATTTGGATTAATAAACCATCAACGTTGTTTATTTCTAGCTTTTTATAAACAACAAATCATACAATTAATAAATCAGACTGTAAAATAAACATAAATATAACAAGTTATAAACATAAATTTATAATAAATACATAACTATGTTAATATTATAATTACATCATTGTATAAGATTAATAATGATATATATTCAGACAACACTTTTTCTTGTTAAATGTCTTAAGATCATGAAACACGTGAAGAAACCAAAAAAAATATACGAAGTAAAAGATCTTAATTTTTCATCAAAATTTTTGGGAATAATAGATTACAGTATCCTTTATAAAACAGTACATGAGCCTGTATTAAAGGGATTGAAAAGAGCTCTTCTAGTCTATTCATGTGTATCAAGGACACTGATAGTTTTAGTTTCTATTTGCACCATTAAAATTTTCATCTCAGATTATGATGTATTATAGAAAATACCACTCAAGACAAATAGAAGCCATAAGTGTTCCTAATACACCTTCATGGGCCAGTAATATCCCTTTAATGAAACCAAATAATTTTATATCTATTGATATGAAACTAAATGAAATATTTATACTAGGACCACCTGTTTTAATGGTGTTCCCATCTGTTATATTAATGAGCCCAAATCAATAAACATGTTAAATTTGAACAAATGAGGAAATATATTACCTGAACCTCTATTCAGCATATGAATCAATGGGATTGTAAAGAGATTTCTAAATATTTTTTATATGCATTGGGTAAGCATTGATTTGCACCTTATCAATTTTCAGTCAGACATCTGTGTTTCTATCAAATCCATAGAAACTAAGCCTTTTATGATGTTGATATTAAAAGCTAGTTTTAGTGGAATTACAAGAACCTTAGACATCTAAATTAAAATTTAAATGGTGCAAATTGATGCTATCATTGTCCCTGATGCACATACAAAATTTTAAAAACCTCTTCACCATCTCTTTAAGCCCAAATACATCTTAACATCAGGCAATCTTCCCTAACCCAATTTTGATCCGAAAAGTAAGACATAAACTTATTTCATTCATTAAAAGGTATCAAATTTGAGATAGCAGAAAAAAACTTGAGACAAAAAAATTAAGTAACGGCATCAGACTTATATTTTTCAGGGCGTTTTTTGACGTCTGCTATGATTCCTGAGTTATGCGGTGAGGTAGTCTCGAAGTGGCATTCTTGATTTTTCTCTGAAAAAAAAAACACCAGAAAATAAATTTGTCGCATTGTATTTAAAATTACTTGGGGTTAAGGAGTTAGACACTTGCCTGGTAACCTGGAGATCTCAGAGTTGCAACTTGGTATCCTTCCATAAGGTTGATATATTACCTGTAGAATTTTCTATGGGGTTTCTCCTTTCAGTGGTGAATGTCAGAGGGACTGACATGTTATTAGTTTTCAGTGACGATAGAGCCAGTTAGCTAATTCAAGGGTTACTTGCTGAAATTAACTTGTGCTCAAAATGGTTAACTCCTATAATGCTAATAAAGCTGAAGAGCCAAAATATCTCACCCATTGAGTGTGAACTATTGTTCATTTTAGAATATTTACTCCCCGATTTCTCAACCATGACAGGAGAAGATGGAGAACGTTCAAAAATACCACTGATTTTCCTACCTACATATCTGCAGGCTGAAAAAAAAAATATTCTGCCATTTTTATATGAAATGGAACATCAGCTTCCAAATAATATTACTAACTCTAAACATTCTATATCGATACAAATGCACAAATGCAATTACAAAATTAGCTTTAGACTCTCTGAAACTGCAAGAAATGACCAGGCAGAAGAAGAAGAATGACTCATATGAGCTTGGACACTGACAGATGTCTGGTCTCTTTCCTACGTACCAAAACTTTTAGTGGCTTCGGCTAACTAATACTTACCATTAATTATTAGTCAGACCATTCTCTCTTTCCTCTGTGAAAGTCAAAGACCAAAATAAATAAATTTTAATGTTTATGTAATGACTTCCTCGATTTTTATGTTTACTGTTTGTGGTGTTAGTCGCGAGTAACCGGAAGTAAACATTTCGGACTATGCCTACCGGAAATTCTACTTTAAGTTTAGTTTTGTGAATCTATGTTTTGATGTTAAAATGTGTAGCAAAAATACGAAATGGCACTTCCACGCAAGTAAATAACGAAGAGGCAAATGTACAAGTTGTCGTTAAGTGCTGTGTGAAAATCTGGCTCGTTTAACTTGATGTAAAAGTGGAAATTGGGCAAAGCCGAAGGTAAGTTAGTCCGAACAATCTAACTCTACACTTAAAATTAGTGAAGTAGGCCTAGTTGATTAGAGAAGAACTATTCTTCAGAATGGTGAATGAATATCATATCATATTATGAAGCCAATATATCTTGGCCCTTCTTGATCTAGGCCAAACATTCATAAAGGCCTAGAACAAGGCCAAGATCATAGCCAGACCTATCTATCAATGTACCACAGATCTATAAAGGCAATGGCATCCCATTTTCAGGGGTTTATTTGGGTCTTGAATATATGTAGATAGTCTTCAGAACTAAAAATTCTCAATAATTGATTTATTTTTGAAAAAAACAGTGCCCTAAAAATTGTAATTTTAGTCAGACACTTTAGCCAGGCGTAGCTGGCACATATAGGCATACATCCAAATCAAAATCCCTTGTGATTATGAACATATAGATAACTGTACTTTCAGCACAAAATCAGAATTTGAACTTAGTAACCCAAGTTTGAAAATCTACTTATTAATACAGTTAAATCTGGATTTGGGATCTATGTCATTTATGACTGGCACATCAAAATTCAAATCACAATCCATTGTGAACATTTGGATAACTGAACTTTCATGAACCCAATGAAATTCAGAAAAGTTAGGATTTTATTGTATTAGTACTTTTGATCTTAGTAACTTTAGTTTGAAAATGTACTTATTAATACAGTTAAGAAGCTAGAGGTAACTATACTAGACACATTAAAGACCTTTCTTTCTTCCATTGTCATGACAAAAGCATTTTTTTACCTCATTGATCTGAAGAGCCTATTACTAAAGGTGTCAATTGGTTTAAGTTTTTTTTTTTACGGGAGTTCACATTTCAAGGAGATTTTCTTAATCTAGTTTCTACTTTAGGCCAAGCTAAATATATTTCATTTGTGCTGTCTTTGGTCTATTGTTTGATTGAATTGAAATTTCAAGGCCATTTTTTGGGTCTTGAATATATGTAAATAGTCTTCAAATGTACCTAAATGACACAAAAATAGCATAATCCACTCAAATATACCTCAAATTAGAAATTTCACTCTCTATTTCTATAAAAATACGTGCATGTCTTGTCTATAAATGTCTAAGAAAAAATGAGTCCATATCATTCTGGAATCTCCTGGATATAGAGGTACAAATATTGATGTTGAGCTGTGAACAACGATTTACAATTCCTATTTTTAAGCTGACATACTCTCCCTTTAAAAATTTTCTAATATTAACAAAACTTATATATTCTTGAACACTGGGAGAAAAGAAATTTGTCATATATCCTATTTTTATGAGGCTGGCATATGCTTCCCTTTAAACAAAAACTGTATATTGTTGAACACTGGGAAGAAGAAATAAGTTCATTTCTATTTTTATCAGACACACTCCCCCAATTTTCCTAATATTAACAAAAACTCATATATTCTTGAACACTGGGAGAAAGAATTTAGTTACAATTCATAATTTAACAAAGCTGAAACACCCCTTTAAAGTAAACTGACTTCCAATATTAACAAAACCTGTATGTTGTTGGACACTGGGAGAAATAAGTAATTTTATGATACACACTCCCCCTTTAAAGATTTTCTAATATTGCTAATCTTAGTAACAAGCTAGCAGACGACTTTCGCTACTACTCACACAACAATAATGTCATTTACATTTGCCTTGACATACATGTGTAAATTGTCTAAAGGTGTATGTTTTATGCGTAATCGAGGGTGGAAAGGGTTTACTTTGAGCGGCCATCAAGCACCGATAACGTGACTCTCTTATGTCATTGAAGTGAGTGGAGGGTGTCATCTCAACACAAATATCAAATAAAAGTGTGTTTCGTTAATTGGAGTAAAGAGATACTGTATCAATAGGTATTGTTGTTTTTTTGTTTATTTGTTTTTTTGGTTAAGGAAGTGTTTCTTGCACATCTTATTTTAATAAGCTATGCAAAAGTTGATAGAGGAGTTTTGATTAAGCTGTATTTACCAGCCAAATATAATAGAATCTTTGACAAGAAAAGATCCTTTTTTGTGGTTTTGTCAAAAATTTTTTTTTTGTATAATTTATAGATAGCCTTGAAAATATTTGACAAAATCAAACTTTTGATTACTTTTTATGAGAATTCTTTTTTTGAAATTAAGAAATACAAAATTTAAAAAAAGACCTAAGATGTAATTATATGAATTTCGTTTAAACTTTGAAATGTTATATTTGTAGAAGCTTTATCAGAATTAATTTTAGTAGTTTCGATTAAAAGTTTTCAGCACAGAATTTCATAACATGTTTGAAACTGTTTGATTTATCAATAATTTAAATTTAGAAGTACAAAGTTATTGAACAAGGCTTATAAATATTTTGTAAATAATATTGAAGTTTGTATATATTTCAGTTTTACAAAGTTTAAAGAAATACAAATTTGTAATTGCTTTTGATGATGTAATTTTTTAAAATTTAAAACTGTCTGCTACCAGTACTTGCATGATTTTGATAATAAATTGTTTTCAAAAATACAAAATTTAGATGTAAATAATGTCTATCATAATTTAGAAAAATTCCTTACTCAATGAAGGCCTTCCTAGATTGTTACTGATATATAAAATATATCTAATATAACTGAAAAAGTACACATAGTTACTTATTGAATTTCACTGAAAACTGGTCCGCCTAAAAATTGCATTGTATGGTTTTATTTGTAAATTCTATGTCAACATTAGAAAGTATATTGTCATACTAATTATTTTACTTCAATCAAAATATATGTTAAAGGACAGGTTTGCATTTTTCAAGGGTTGATTTGGGTCATGAATATATGTAAATAATCTTCAGAAGTATTAGAACTGCACGTGCAATCGCATAATTCCGTCAAAAATATCTCAAACTAGAAATTTTACTTTTTATTTCTTATATGCCTTTTCTAATTGACAGAACCTCAAGAAAAGACGATTCGTCTTCTTAACTTTCTTACAAGATATACATGGATTTGAAGGTTGATTAGCTAAGATAAAAACTAACGCACAATCAGTCAAATAGATGGCAAACCTGTTCCTTTATAAAATGTATGATAGTGTTTAACTAAAAACAGTTAATAAAAGACTCTTTGTAAGCCAGTGGGAAAGTTATATTTCACAGGTGTTAGTCAACATACACTATTCTTTACAGATTTATAAAACTAAAAGTAAATCATGTATAAACACCCACATCCGGATATTATCAGTACACATAATATGCATGTTTATCATCTTCACAGTGTCAAGATATTATGACATTCAGCTAATACCTTGACTGCAATAGCCACCTTTCTTGTATAATGGATTGTATATCAACAAATACAGCCAATCGGGCCCTCGATAGAAAGACTCTAACAATTATGGTTTAGTTTGTCCAAGGCTCTGATTGGCTGTATTCATTGACATACATTTCCAATCAAATCGTTGCAGTCTGTGATACAAGAAAGGTAACTATTGCAGTCAAGGTATAAGACGAAGTTCTTTGACATTGAGAAGATGTATAAGACGAAGTTAGTAATAGCTTGACATTGTGAAGATGTATAAGATGAAGTTTGTAATAGTTTGACAATGCGAAGATGTATTAGACGCAGTTCGTAATAGCTTGACAATGCGAAGATGTATAAGACGAAGTTAGTAATAGCTTGACATTGTGAAGATGTATAAGATGAAGTTTGTAATAGTTTGACAATGCGAAGATGTATTAGACGCAGTTCGTAATAGCTTGACAATGCGAAGATGTATAAGACGAAGTTTGTAATAGCTCGACATTGTGAAGATGTATAAGACGAAGTTTGTAATAGCTTGACACTGTGAAGATGTATAAGACGAAGTTTGTAATAGCTCGACATTGTGAAGATGTATAAGATGAAGTTTGTAATAGCTTGACACTGTGAAGATGTATTAGATGAAGTTCGTAATAGCTTGACAATGCGAAGATGTATAAGACGAAGTTTGTAATAGCTCGACATTGTGAAGATGTATAAGACGAAGTTTGTAATAGCTCGACATTGTGAAGATGTATAAGATGAAGTTTGTAATAGCTTGACACTGTGAAGATGTATTAGATGAAGTTCGTAATAGCTTGACAATGCGAAGATGTATAAGACGAAGTTTGTAATAGCTCGACATTGTGAAGATGTATAAGATGAAGTTTGTAATAGCTTGACATTGTGAAGATGTATAAGATGAAGTTTGTAATAGCTTGACATTGTGAAGATGTATAAGACGAAGTTTGTAATAGCTTGACATTGTGAAGATGTATAAGATGAAGTTTGTAATAGCTTGACATTGTGAAGATGTATAAGATGAAGTTTGTAATAGCTTGACATTGTGAAGATGTATAAGACGAAGTTTGTAATAGCTTGACATTGTGAAGATGTATAAGATGAAGTTTGTAATAGTTTGACATTGTGAAGATGTATAAGACGAAGTTTGTAATAGTTTGACATTGTGAAGATGTATAAGATGAAGTTTGTAATAGCTTGACATTGAGAAGATGTATAAGATGAAGTTTGTAATAGCTTGACATTGAGAAGATGTATAAGATGAAGTTTGTAATAGCTTGACATTGAGAAGATGTATAAGATGAAGTTTGTAATAGCTTGACATTGAGAAGATGTATAAGATGAAGTTTGTAATAGCTTGACATTGAGAAGATGTATAAGATGAAGTTTGTAATAGCTTGACATTGAGAAGATGTATAAGATGAAGTTTGTAATAGCTTGACATTGAGAAGATGTATAAGATGAAGTTTGTAATAGCTTGACATTGAGAAGATGTATAAGATGAAGTTTGTAATAGCTTGACATTGTGAAGATGTATAAGATGAAGTTTGTAATAGTTTGACATTGTGAAGATGTATAAGACGAAGTTTGTAATAGCTTGACATTGTGAAGATGTATAAGACGAAGTTTGTAATAGTTTGACATTGTGAAGATGTGTAAGACGAAGTTTGTAATAGCTTGACATTGTGAAGATGTATAAGACGAAGTTTGTAATAGCTTGACATTGTGAAGATGTATAAGATGAAGTTTGTAATAGCTTGACATTGTGAAGATGTGGACGTATATAATTGTGAATTTGAATTATTGATGGTATAATGATCTTATTGATTAATCTAAAGATATACATCAATAAATAAAAACTTCTTATAAGTAATTTGATTCATAGATTAACTCAGGATTCTTTTAAAAACATTCTTTACAGCAGGTATGTATGTATTTGAAAATACCAAGTGGATTCAGAATGGAATACTGAATTGGAGAACCCATTCTCAAAGTGGCATCAGGTGTTCTATAAGATAAGCAGTGCTTTCTATTTCTTTTTGAGTATTTTTGGAGTTTCAAGCAAGGAACCCTGGAACTTCAAGTAAGGAATTTCTTCAGGTTAGGAACTGTCAACCTTCAAGTTGAAAGCCTGGACCTTCAAGTTGAAAGCCTGGACCTTCAAGTTGAAAGCCTGGACCTTCAAGTTGAAAGCCTGCACCTTTAAGTTAGGAAGCCTGGACCTTCAAGTTAAGAAGCCGGGACCTTCAAGTTAGGAAGCCTGGACCTTCAAGCTGAAAGCCTGGACCTTCAAGTTAGGAAGCCTGGACCTTCAAGTTAGGAAGCCTGGACCTTCAAGTTAGGAAGCCTGGACCTTCAAGTTAGGACCTTAGCTTCCTCCAATGTCATTTTGACATTGAAATGTGGACAAACAGTGCCATCACCTCTGTCTGTCGGTTTGTCCGTCTGTTCAGATTTCATGTATGCACAATAGAGGCTGCAGTTTTTATCTGCTATTAATGAAACTTGGTATGAAAACATCTTAGTCAAGTTTGAATGTGTATGTTGATGAGACCTTGTTCATGTTTAAATTAGTAATAATTTGATAAACTTGAGATATTGCTTTGACTTATAGAAAATCTTTAAGATTAAGAAGTAACTAAAGACTTAGTTAATGTTTTCTGACAGTTGATGATGGGCGTATGTTACTTTGCCTGGCAAGGTATCTTAAACTGTTCTTAAATACCGAAGTAAACAAACAAACAGTCAATAAGTAGTGTAAACAAAAACTGGTAATAACTTTAAGTGTTGAACTTTATGTAACATGTGCATCTCAACTAGTAATTAAGTGCATTCTAAAATACTCGAAACTTATCTTGAATTATTTAAATTAGGAATAGATTTGTAACTTTGGCTTGTTGATTTAGTTTATAAATCAGTTATTATGTAATCTTGAGTAATGAGATACTCTTATAAAAGCACTGGCCAAGGTCACGAGAAAAGAATGTTAGTTTGAAAATATTTCAAAGATTTTTCAAAGTTGCATGTACATGCAATGAAGAACAAAGATTTTGTCCCCTTGTTGTTCAAATTTGAGTATACTTTACCACTCTATTTTGATTTACTTCCCTTGCTATTCCAATAATATGCTAATTGTAGGCATATCTTCCTTGGCAACCTTGTGCCCTTGAATGTCTGTGATTTCAAAGTAAAATCAATGGAATTTTTTTGTTTCCATTTCAGAACAGCATGTTGGGGTTGTCAGGCGTGACAGGACTATGGTTGGTACTGCTGGTGACCGATATACTCGTTAGCTCAGCATCCTTCTGGAAAGAGTTAAAATTACCGAAAGAGCATATCCCATATTACTTATACAACAACCCACATTTACAGACCAACTGTTCTGACGACAAGTCATGCCCTTATAAGGTATTGAATTAATACATTACATATCTATGACCAATGAAATTCCACTGACATTACCTGTCTTCATTGCCTAGCTCAATTAAGTGCGAAAAACTCCATTTCATTTTGATCTAGAAGTCTGAGGATGTGTTGCCTGATTTAAATTTCAGAAATTGTTGAAGGAGAAGAAATGCTGGGGTTATGAGAAAGATTGTCCAGTAGAAAATAGAATGAATTTTGCTGTATGTGATGGCGTGAAGAATGCTTGGTATGGTTACGTATTTATTATTTGAGTAATTTGTATTAAATGTTGGTGTTTGCTTTATAATTTTGAGGTTTAACTCTTGCAAAACTAGCAGCGACTAGTCAATTACATGACATATATCCCAGCAATGTACTTCATCCATTGTACCTTAGTCTCAGAACGGGAAATTTTTTATCTAAGCTAATCAGTACTAGTGATCACAGTTCAACGTCGAAATTTGAGTCTTAGTTAAAATGACAACTGGTCTTTTCGTGAGACTGCCATATAGAAAAGACATAGAAATAGTTTGTAAAATTCCTAGTTTGAAGTATTTTTTCTAGTACTTCTGAAGACTATTTTCAAATATATAAGATCCAAATCATTCCCAGAAAATGATTAACTTTGAATTTTTTAAAATTGTAAACTAAACGAATGTTTAATCTGAATAGTCAAGGGTCAAGGGTAGCTGAAATTTGGCTCCTTCAGTTGAAAACCTTAAAATAATCCTATAATCCTTTGATATTTGTTGTTATTTATTATTTACAGGGCTAGCACTGAAAAAGAACAATTTGACACATTTTGGAAAACGGCTGATTTTGGTTACGTAGACAAATTTAAAAATGAAGAAAAAGTATATTGTAGATCAAAACATAAGGTAAAGACTTTAGGATGTACAAAAATTTATGGTTTTGTGATCCTTTCTACCAGCTGGTCCTTGGCCAAACCTCTTGGCATTGATCTTTCATGGATTATTTGTACTTATTTACTGCTGCGTGGACTGGTAAAAAGAGGAACGATGCCTTGTTTAAGACTCTCACATTCTAACCGAGATTCGAACCCATGACAACCATGGCCTTTATTTTTTAAGTCTATATCCTACATTCACAAATTTTGTAGTCTTGATTATCTAGACGCTCTGTGTTTCATTTCAGAATGGTGCTTATTTAAAATGTTCAGATTTTCTCCGACATTGCAGAGCTAAAAATATATTTGTTCATCTTAAAGATGTTGATTTTTCAAACTCTAGAAATAGGTTAGTATTGGGGCTTATTGTTTTAGAAACATCAGATCTTTAAGATGTTTGAAATAAACTATCAAAACTATGATTGGTTAAAGAGATTGTAAAGAGTTTTTCTAAAGTTTGTATGTGTAGCTGGGACACTGATAGCATTGATTAGCACAAATCCAATAATAGATTTTTGGGTTTCTTGCAACCTAGTTCCCCCTGTCAGGGTTGTAGGTCTGAGGGGATGTAATGGAAAACAATAAACTGATGCCCTGAGTGCTGCAGGCTGTGCACGTTATAAAGATTAGTCAACAGTGGGAATCGTAAAAGAGCAGTCTATTGTCGCTGTCCTGGCAGCATTTTCAAAACTTTGTATTCTTGATTAATCAGACTCATGTTTTTTTAAAATTATATTGTAATGCTGATTTTAAAAGAAACTCAATGTCTACTTTCTGTTTCTCAACTTTGATTCTTGATTAACCAGGCTCATATTTTGATTGAATTGTATTAAAGATATCAAGAAGATGTAGGAGATGTAGGGGGATATTGTGATGTTGATAAAACAGCCATTAGTAAACAATCAGAACATAAAAGTGCCTTACAATCTTGGTGAGTTTTCTGTTTAGAGGGATTGTTTTTGGGGAATTGACCCCTGCATAGGTCGAGATACCTTCACATTTTGTTTCACTCTGTTTCCCCCTGTCAGTGTTGCAGGTAAGAGGGGCTGAGATGGAAAAAGTATTTAGTTGTTGAAGGAGGACAATAAACCAAGGCCCAGTGTGCTACAGACTGTGTCTCTTCGTGATTTCCCAATTGAAAAAGAGTAGGCTATTGCTGCTATCTTGGCAAACTTTCCATTATTGCACACTGCATGATGTTGACAGTCCTCATTAATCTGATCAGGAGCAGTATCATTTTATTTCATATTTTGTAACAGGTTTGCTGAACTTGGAGGGTACACATCCTTAAAATCCGATCCTTTTAGAAATAATAACTGTGATATTATAATAGACAAACCAACTTATCTTATTAAGTTAGATGCAGGTAAGATCCCATCATCATCAGAATGTCAAACTATTACTATCTTCATCTTATACCTTGACTGCAATAGCCACCTTTCTTGTATCATGGAATGCAGTGATTTGATTGGATTGTACTCTAGCGAATACAGCCAATCAGAGGCCTTAACAGAAAGTCAGTGAAATACAAGCCATGAAGTTTTACGGAATTTATGTCAAGGGCTCTGATTGACTTTATTCGATAGCGTACAATTCAAATCGCTGCAATTGCAGTCAAGGTATAAGACAAGGTTTGTAATGGCTTGAAATTGTGATGATGGTAGAACAGATTTGTTTACTTTTCATCCTTGATCTTAAGAAATATTTATGCAGCACATGGTCTAAGGTTTTAAAGTATTCTACCAATCAAATGCTCAATTTACTGGCAGCATTTGAGGACTTCTGGGATAATTCATCGTTAAAAACCCTCTTTTAAACAACGATTTTGATTGGATATTGTAAATTATGCAAAATAGAAGCATTAGGAAATTATTCTAAATGTTAAATTTGACAGTTTATTTTTTAATTTAGACTTTGTTTTGTTTTAGGTATAAATATGTTCCACCATTTTTGTGATTTTGTTAATTTATATGCTACCATGCACATTAATATTAGTTTTAGTTTGGATGTTAATATAGTCATGTGGGACACTGTAAGTTAACTGTTTTAGTACTGTGTTTGTGGTAAATTAAATTTATTATTATTATGTTATTAAGCATATCAGCTTCCAAATTTAATGATAGAGAAATCATTTATTTAAAAAATGAATGTGGATCTTGCTATAGTTATGGGGAAATAAACGCTGGTTTATCATGTGACAAGACAAATGACTCGGTGAAGCCTTATTGTCACATGACAAACTACAGTTATTGGAAAATAAACACTAGTTTGGCTAACTGGTTTATTGAAGGGAGTGATAGTAGAAATGTAAATATAAAACTATAAACAAGACCCATAGTATTCTCTCTCTTAGATGATAGAACTACATTCCTGCTCTCTGTAATACATTTTATTATGAAAAGCCCGCATCTGGTTTATCTGTAATCTGTAAAATTCAGCCAAATGTTTAATGAGTGGTTTGTTTTTTTGATGTTGTAGAGTAGAATGCCTTATGGAGATTATTTTAGTGAAACATGGAAAGCTTTTAGTAAACATCCTATTATAAATCTATCTGAATATGATGGAAAAAAGGTAGGAATTATTTTCTATGTCTAATTGACAAGAGTCTTCGCAAGAAAGAGACAACTGAGGTTCACGAGGATCCTTTCTTCCAGCTGATCCTTGGACAAACATCTTGGTATTGATCTGTCCTGGATTATACGTCCCCTTTTTAGAACTGGGTCGACTGGGAATCACAAGCAAAATGACCATTATCATTACTGCAAATAAACACCATACCTCATTGCTCATCCAGATATATAACTTCGAATAATCAAGTCTGGCTATGGGCTTGGTCATCAGACTTTCACAAGCTGACCAAGATTACAGTTCACCATCACCATTTATTTAACATAACCATGTAAATGACATCATGTAAAGATTTCAACCATCTGTGCTTCAGGTTGTCCTCCAACAGAGATCATATGTTGTCAAATCCATGTTTTACCAGATTTTTTAAGATTTTCATTCTTTGGTCAGCAGACAAGCTGACCAAGATTACAATCCACCATCACCATTTATTCATTATTATTTTTTTATATTTTTATCCTTTTATTAACAGATTTGTTTTAAAGATGCAGTATTTTCTTTATTACCTCGAATGAGATTTGGTTTATACTACAACATGCCTTTAGTAAGTATTAATATTCACTTTTGATTAATTTTTTTCTCAAGATTCTTAAAGGGATAAGTTTTGTAAATATTTGCTCATCTAGTTAATAGAGCTTAGTTTCAGCCATCACTTTTCAGAATTAAAATTTAGTATGCGATTCATTAACAATTCAACAGAACCAAGAAAATGATGTCATGTAAAGATTCCAATGCTCTAACTGACTGTGCTACAGCCGTCCATATATAGACAGTATGACAAAGAGTGTTTTAACTTCCATCTGTTAAGACGAAATAGTGACCTGGAAACTGGACAACACCCTTTCATTTTTATATTTTCAGATACCTGGCTGTGCTGGAAGTAGTTTATTAAAAGCCTTTTCTCAACAAGTTATACATAGACTCAATATTAAACAAGATGGTCCTTTAGTAAGTTTTGCACAAAAAATAATAGCAAAATTCTTTCCATATTTAGTCATTGGGACAACCTAAATATTTTAGAAATATTTTCAGGTATAATTTACGACGTTTTTTTATAATGAAAATTGTGCATACTGCCCCTTTAAATTGTTTTTTGATTTTGTTACAGAAAGACAAGATTAGAATAACATTGTTAGATAGAAAAAGTCGTTATAGAAATATATTGAATCAACAAGAGGTAAGCTCTCTAACATTTACTGTATAATTGCGAATACAACGCGCATCCCTTCATACTTAACTATGCTACACTAAGTTTAAAACGATAAATGATTACTCTTGTTAAGTCCTTGCTTGATTTATTTGTAGTTATACATTCATTCAATTGCGCTAGAAATTGTCCAAGTTTTATTAGCAGTTGATGTTGTTGTTTTGTTATTAGCAGTTGATGTTGTTTTGTTATTAGCAGTTGATGTTGTTTTGTTATTAGCAGTTGATGTTGTTTTGTTATTAGCAGTTGATGTTGTTTTGTTATTAGCAGTTGATGTTGTTGTTTTATAATTTTCTGATTTTGTTGTTTTTGTAGTCAGTTGATGTTGTTTTTGTAGTTTTTTAATGTTGTTGTTTTTGTTTATTTGTAGTTAGTTGATGCCATGTCAGTATTAGATGGTGTAGAAGTCGATGTTGTTGTTTATAATAGGTAAGTTATGATAAAGCAAAGACATTCAAAACACTTTGATGGTTTTGTCCACTCATTGAGCAAATCTGTGTTAGGGTCTCAATGAAAGCACTGGCCAAGGTCACAGAGATCTGTTTTAACTTTTGGAGTGTGTTATGGCTCAGCAAGTTGGAAGAGAGTAGCATCTAAGTATTCACTGCAGTACATGTGTATGTTCAATTTAGGCTACCTGTATCACTTTTTGGATCTACGATTGACTAAAGAAATACCAACACTTTTTTCTTTATTTCAGAGAATACCCTTTTCCTAAGCAATTAAAGGTAAACAACTCTGCTCCTTTTTTTCCTTTTTTAAAGGGAACTTTAAGCCAGAATTTCATTTTAATAAGGGATTCTGATGGATGAAATTGAGCTCTGTCAGATTGTATTGTAGTGCCATTAGAAAGACAGCTTACTTAAACATAAATGCCACATTTAAGCCCTTTTTCGTTTTTTTTCTGCAATAGTACTGAAAAATTTCGGTTCATTTTGAATTAATGACTCCATGAAACATATTTTTGTATTTAAGAAATCGCATAATAGTGATATATTCATTGGAATGCATGGTGCTGGTTTAACACATATGTTATTTCAACCAGATTGGGGTGTAGGATTTGAATTGTAAGTACCGTACTTCTTATGATACACTAAAAGTTCAAGGTTATACTGACATTTTCCTATCCTTCTCTGCCTATACTTGAATGCACTCCTGGAATGAGTCAAAGGGGACCCATCTTTAAGATGTGGATGACATCAAGAAGGCCGTAACTATGGAATTGCAGAGAAAACTTCCACAAGGAGTGCATTCATGTGTCGTTTGGAAAGTATGTAAGACCAACCGTCTTGAAGATGTGGATGACATCAATAATGCTGTAACTATGGAGTTGCAGAGTATGACTACCAAGAGTGCATGCAAGCGTGGATTTGAAAGTGTGTAAGACTTCTAGGTCATTTCTTCAAAGTCTCGTAGTTTGGATTCGAAATAAATCTGTTTTGACCCCAGTCCCAGTGACTCAACTAATTAAGTGGGGATCTGTGGATTTAAGTGGGTTGCAGCCTCTTCCCTGGGAAATTTTTTTATTTATCAACATACGCTCTCCTGCATTCTTACTGGGGATGTACGTCCCCTTCAAGGTCCCAGTCCTATTGGTAGTTGAGCCAATTCTTGTTCCTGGATCTTGTAACACAATTCGTGACTGATGATATTCATTATTACAATGGTCTAATCAGATTACATGGGGTAAAAAAGTATCTGATGTGGCAGAAATCTTTCGGGGAGTTCACAATCAATAAAATAATGGTGGTTTGTTTATTTTGTAGACATAACTGTGATGATCTCCATTGTTATAATGATCTAGCCAGATTACGTGGAGTAAAATATATGACGTGGCAGAAGGCAGATAAAGTATTTCCAGAAGACGAGGTTTGTTTATTTGGGTTTATTTTGGACTGACAGGGTTCAATTTACATGGTACCGCCAAAGATGCAGGGCGGAAGAGCTGACACGGAAAAAGTGTTGTTTGTATGGGACAATAAACCAAGGCCTACAGGGTGCAAGTTAAAGATCCCTCAACAGTTGGAAATTGAAAAAGAGTAGGCTAATGCTGTTCTGGCAAAATTTCCCTCATTGCACACTGCTTGTCATTGTCTATTACCAATTTCCCAATCAGGTGCAAAAAAAAAATGAAAAAGGCCTACTGTATTTCATTTCATTTATTCAAATGCATCTCTTTACATTGTAGGGTCATCATCCAACATTAGGAGCCCATCCTAAATTCACTAATTACGAATTTGATGTGGAAGAATTTATCCGATTGGTCAAAATAGCTATTCAACATGTCAAAAACCATCCAGAATTTAGAGCTGCTCGCAAACTGAGACATACCTCACAACCAAAAATAGAATTATAAGGGAGATAATTTATTGAATTTTTGAAAATGTTTTTAGTAATTTATTTTTTTAGGATTTAGGGGACAGACTGTAGCTCAGTTGATTAAGAGTGTTAGAATCTCTACATCATTTTCTTGGTTGGAGCCATTCATTTCTCACTCTCTTTAACCAATATTATAACTATTTAGAGTTGATTGAGGATGGGTTGTAACTCAAATGGTTAGAGTCTTGGAGTCTTGACATCATTTGCTTGGTTACATTGAATAAATGGTGGCTATGAATTCTAATCTCGGTCGGCGTGTAACAGTCTGGTGTCCTTGATAAGTCATCTCTCTTCATTATTCCAGTCGACCCTGGGTCAAACTTAAGCTTCTTGCATAATTAATATAAAAAAGAATTCCACCCATTTTTATGCTGTCATAATGAGTCACTTCAGATCTCTGATCTCATTGTTTGAGCATTCAACTTTAAAGGAGCACCTTCACTATCCGTTGGACCAATCATACCTTAGTTTCAGAAACAGGAATTTTTTTAGCTTACACAACCAGTAATAGTAATTATTATTCACGTTTGAAAGTTAAAAATTTTTGATTTGAAAAAATAAAATGCATTATCATTATCTATCTTTGGTCAAAATGATGGAACTGTTAAAAAAATAAAAATTGGTTCGTTCGATTTTTTTGAACCACCATGTACATGTCGTAACGCGTCCAGTCTACATCATTTCATTCTTGTACATCACCATTTTAAATTTATACAATATTTATAACTATTTTATTTTTATGGTTTTTATGAGGCTATATTTGATATAATAATTTAAATGGGGAAATAAACTGTATTTTTATATATATCTATAAGTTTTATTTATGGGTCTATGTTTTCTGTCTGCTTGTTCACATCTTGCTGAAGTCAGACTCATAGCCAGCCCAGTATTTCTAAGGGGCAAACATCCAATCAAGAAGGAGGGGGGGGAGAGGAAGATTAGGGTTAGGAAGCGTCTGGGAAGAGCGTTGAGGTACCTTCCCTAGAAATTTTTCGAGACTTAAATGCCTGTAAACATGATTCCTGACATTTCCCAGAGCCCATTCTTTCTAGGGGGCAAACATCCAATCAAGAAGGCAGGGGGAGAGGAAGATTAGGGTTAGGAAGAGCCCCTTCTTGATGTGAACATGACAGAACCTAGTTTTGATAGACACTATAATTATGTGCTTTTATATCCTAAATTTCTAAGATAAGGATCATTGAAGCTCTCATTTTTTAAATTTTAGGGCCATAATTTACTCTAATCAACAAGCAAAACACACTTTAAAAGTGGGAAACTAGGTCATCAGCAAGCTAGTCCTACATGTATCTAGGTTACTCATCCAGAATTTAACACCCCTTGCATAACCAGGTGTAAAATTCCACACTGCATTAATTAGTCATTAATCTCCAGGTGGGAATTAAGATACAGCTTTTAATTAGCACTATTCACACCGATCGACTTTATTTAAGTGAGATATTAGGTGGGGTGTGTAAATGAAAGTCCCCAATCCATATTACCTTTATTTAAAATAATATTCTCAACTCAGTTGCGTCAAAAGTTGAGCCTTGAAAGTTGAGGTAGGCATAGGCTTAATGTAACCCAGTGTCTTGGGCGCCCACAGCCTATCGATGCAAAAAGGACGGCGATTAAAAATGTGAAATTGTTTGCAAATAGCTGTTGTTCAACCATAGCCTGGCATAGCAGTTAAAAAAACGTATTATTCCTTTGCATAAAATGGTTTTCCATATAATAAAAAGTAGGTCAATTCTGTTCAGATAATTTAGCGGTTTTAGTTTTCCATAAAATTGGGTCAGTAAAGACTTTATAATCCCGACTACAATATTTATGGTTCGCGGCAAGTCTTTGTTTGGATAAACAAGTGCGCGATTTGGACCAAACGATAACAAAATTTACGTCTAAATCCTAAAAATCAAGAAAAGAGAAATTAATTTGTCTAATTTTGTGCTCAAAATATGATTTTAAAGCCGCGAATATGGGAAATGATTGAACAAAGCGACTTTATTAATCGAGAAACCGCGCTTCATTTGTAAACATTGTGTTAATTTCTTGTAAGAAGCAATGTGATTGGATGGCAAGTTTCGCTTTGAGCCAATCAATAGGCTGGATATAAAATTTTCGTCAATAATTTGCAGAGTATTATGGGATGTAGACTTTTGGTTGAAATTTGTGAAAATGGAAAAGAAATCAATCCGTGAACTGTTTTCATGAAAAATAACGGGATTTTACCTCAATGTAGCGGTTCTTTTGATAAGGTGACGTTTCATTAGTATGATGATGAACGGGGAAATACCGAGTGTGCCGATAACCACCCTTTCGGGGGTGGCAAGTTTGACTGATATGTTGTTAGAACTGCCCTTGCCATCACCTTTGCATCAAAATATGCACAAGAAAAACTTACTTCACAACCCCGTTGTTGCCGACGAAGCTCATAAAAACATTAATTCAAGAGACCCAGCTCTAGCGCAACAATTGGCAGCAGCATTAAGGCAGACGTCCACGGATCATATTGAATTAAAAGATGGTTATTCAAACACTCCTTTCAGTGATGATATGCCTCCATTATTAAAGACAATTTTGACCTGTGATCCTCATGTATTTAATGGAAGTAGGACTAGATCATCTCAGCCAAGCCAAGGTGCTGGAAATTTCATCAATCAACAACCAAATTATCCACAAGCCAATGCTTTAGGTTTTAATGGAAATGATCATCAAGTGAATTCAACTGCACACCATAATTTACCGTCCAATAATGTGCATCTTAATCAAAACCAAAACCAGTCATATCACCCTTACAACAGCCCCTACCAATCACAAAGTACCGGTCATCTTCCACAAGAAATCAACCCTTTATCTCAGAACCAGTTTGATCGGAATGCTGCCATGCTGAACGGCATTGCATACCCTCAAGAAATTTCTCCAAACAACTCAAATCAACAGCACAATCACAGTACCCAACAGAAAGGAGCTGTGTCCTCCCCTGCGCAGGCCACATCAGCTGAGAGAGTTTCAAGTCAACAAAACGTCAGACAGCCGTCATCGTCAATTCCTGTGATTGACAATGACTTGATACGCTCTGGAACCTCCAGGTCATCTCGCAGTGAATCTCAAAAGGCTAAAGAAGTGTTTGCCCCACCTAAAGACAATTCGAAATCTAAAAAATCCTCAGAGCCTGTGGTTGTGTTAGAACTTTTAGATGCCAAGGCTTTACAACAAATAAAAACTGGAGGCTCGATAAAAACGGATAATAAAAAACGCAAACGTGGTGAAGGCATAAGATTCAATATGAACACATCAACTCCATCGAGGAAGTCTAAATATGTTGAAGTTGACAGTGAGGAAGAAGAAGAATCGTGGAACGAGGAAGAAGAGGATGAACCCCGCGCCAGTAAGAAACGAAAGACAGAAAAGAAACGAAGACCTGTGCCGACACATTTGTCATTGGATGAATTAATGGAAAGTCCTACATTTAAAAAGTTCAATAGTTGCATTGACTATATTTTTGACAGTGTAGAAGATGTGAACTTTAGTGCTATTGATGTGAATGATGAAACAGCCGAGTGTCCCCCAGACTCTTTGATAGCCAAAGGAATTCTAAGTGATTTGTGTGGCGAGGCAGCAAAGCTACGATCAATGGGGGCTATGAATCAAATGCCACCAGATAGACTTGTGAAATTATTGACTATTTTGCAGTGGAATATTCGTGACGGAAGTAGTGTGACTCCAAACGTAGGACAAGAAGATGCTGATGAGGATGAACAGAAACTGTGGCGTGAATTAACCATGGAGCGAATCATGAGAAGTATGGATGCAACACTCACTGCATTATTCATTATGACGTCCCCTAAAATGCCAAAACAGGTCTACCTAGAAGATGTCATAGAAAGAATACTTTTCTTTGGAAAATTTCAACTTCATAATACAATTTATCCAGAGTTTGATCCAGTTTACAAAGTCACCAAAGAGAAAGATGGTTATTATGGTAGTTTGAAGGCTAAAAGGGCCAGAGCGGGGTCTGTCAAGCATAAATCAACCATCTCCCTGTTCAACAAAATCTCTGATATGGTTGGCTGTCTTGGGGAATTAATTGATATTCAAGAATTAACAGACACTGTCATTCTTCAAGCCTCATCATTGGGTGTTTCTCCATTCTTCGTTGAAAATGTCAGTGAACTGCAACTCAACGCCATCAAATTGGTAACCACCATTTTTTCCCGCTATGACCAACATCGACAACTCATTCTAGAAGACATATTTTGCAGTTTGGCTCGTTTACCATCCAGCAAGAGGAATATTAGAATTTATCGACTCAATGCTGAAGAGTCCATCCAAATGGTCACGGCTTTGGCTCTGCAGTTAATACAATGTGTGATCAAGCTGCCATCTCTCACTGATGATGGCCCTGATGAAAGTGAACGTGAACGATCTGAGAAGAAGAAGAAAAAGGGACAGACTGATAATGAAGTTTTGATCATCAGCAGTTATGAAACAGCTATGAGAACAGGGTACAATTTTCTCTCTGTTTTCCTCAATAAATGTTCAACCAAAAATGAAGATGACTATCGTCCCTTGTTCGAAAATTTCGTTCAAGATTTGCTGTCTACAGTCAACAAGCCAGAATGGCCAGCCTCTGAACTTTTACTCAGTTTACTTGGAAGAATATTGGTGAAGCAGTTTAGCAGCAAATCCACTGACATGTCATTGAGAGTTGCCTCCCTGGAGTATTTGGGTATCGTGGCTGCCAGATTGAGAAAAGATGCTGTCTCCAGTCGCTTGAACCCAGAAATTATTCAAGAAATTGTTGAAAAAGTCAACGAAGATGAAGAAGAAGAACAAGAGGAAGAGCAAGAAGATGAAGAAATGGAAAGTGATGACGAAAGTAACAAGAAATCAAAGAAGTCTAAAAGTAAGGGTGATATGACTCAAAAATTGCAGGAAGCCATGCTGGTATATTTGGCTTACAATGGAGAGAAGGAACCAGCCCTAATGTTTGCACGACAATTTTATTTGGCTCAATGGTTCAGAGACACGAATGCTGAAGCAGAAAAAAGTACAAAAACTGCAAATTCATCCAATCAAGATCCAGATAGCGACCAATCAGAAAGCGATAAATCGGCTGAATATTTACAAAAGTTAGAGGACAGAAAAGACTTTTTGATTGAGCAAGCCAAACTAACACTAGCCCCTTCCTTCAAACCAGCCCCTAGTAAACTGGATTATGATAGTGCTTGCTTAGTCGCCCGATACCTCTCCTCAAAACGACCCTTTGCACAAAGTTTTGATATCTATCTTACTCAGATATTGAAAGTACTTTGTGAGACGGCTGTGGCAGTGCGTACTAAAGCTATGAAGTGTTTGACAGCCGTTATTGAAGCTGACCCTGGAATTCTAGGCAGAGATGACATGCAACGTGGAGTTCATGGACGATTCCTTGATCAATCTACATCTGTGCGTGAGGCAGCAGTAGAATTAGTCGGTAAATTCATATTAATTCGTCCGGAGTTGATACCCAAATATTACGAGATGTTATCGGAGCGTATTTTGGACACTGGTATCAGCGTGCGCAAGAGAGTTATCAGAATTTTCAAAGACATTTGTATCGATCAATCTGATTTTGATAAAATTCCCGAAATGTGCGTGAAAATGATTCAAAGAGTGAACGATGAGGAAGGAATTAAAAAACTAATCAATGAAGTTTTTCAAACGATGTGGTTTTCTCCGATTAGTGCGCGAGATAAGGACTCTGCCAAACTGCTACTAAAAGTGATGAACATTACCGAGGTTGTGGCTGCTTCTAAAGACATCGGTTATGACTTTTTCGAACAAATGTTAGAAAACTTACTGAAAAAGGACGATGATGGAAACTATAACAAATCTGCTGTAACTGCTTGTAAACAAATCGTGGACTGTTTGGTTGAAAATGTGCTAAAACTGGAAGAAAGCAGTGTTGAACGCAGTACAAAGAATCGATTAGGTGCTTGTTTATCGACTTTGTATTTATTCAGTAAAATCAAACCAGACTTAATGGTGAATCACGCGACTACTCTTCAACCGTATCTAGATATTAAATGTAACACTCAAGAGGACTATTTGGTGCTACATTATGTCGCGAGAATTTTGGAACTTGTGGTCCCTTTAATGAACCATCCGAGTGAAACATTTCTGGCTCAGTTAGAAGAGGACATGATGAAACTAGTTTTAAAACATGGTATGATGGTTTTACAAAGTTGTGTTAGTTGTTTAGGGGCTGTGGTCAATAATGTGAGCTATAATTTTACGCTTGTTAAAGACTGTTTTCAGAAATTTTTTAGTGTTTTATCAAAGTTGATGACTGATCATCGTGAAGACCCAGACAATCCAACTTTAAAAAGCCGGCGGCCCACAATGTTGCGGTCGTTATTCACTGTGGGTCTATTGTGTAAACATTTTGACTTTGATTCTAAAGAGATGGGCGAAACGAAAGTCTGTGTGCGGGAAAAAGTGTTTGATGTTTTAACGTACTTTATGTGTCATGAGGATGAGGACGTTCGATTAAAAGCGCTGACAGCTCTGGGATTTGTCCTCATACGACATTATGACTATATGTTAGGGCACACTGTGAAAGAAATGTATAATATGTTTTTAACTGACGATAGCGCTCCAACACGACTCCGTTGTCAAGTGTTGAAAAATCTTCAGAGTTATCTTTCTGAGGAGGAAAATCGTATGGCCATAGCTGATCAGCAGTGGAAAAAACAATCGAAACATGAGGACTTAAAAGAAATGGGTGATATTCAGTCAGGCATGGCTAGTGCGATTATGCAAGTTTATCTGAAACAGGTGTTGGAGTCATTTTTCCATGAGAACTCTACTGTGCGATTGACTGCATTAGGTGTAGTGCAACTTATTCTAAAACAAGGTTTGGTACACCCGGTTCAGTGTGTCCCATATTTGATCTGTATGGGAACTGACATTGAAGCAGCAGTGAGAATCAAAGCAGATCAACAAATGCAGGAAATTGAAAAGAAGTATCCGGGTTTCACCCATATGAAGGCTCAACAGGGATTGAAATACTCATACAAGCTTCAACAAGTGCTGACCAAAGGCAAACAAGGACCCATACGAGGCATGAGGTTCATGAAGGATGACATCCCGGTCAGTCTGAACTCTCATGTATATAAAGTGGTCCGAGCTAATCGTCAACATCGTAGAGGCTTTTTGACCACTATCTTAAACCTCTTTGATGATTCTGCTCGAATCACTTTAGCAGAACAGCTATACACTGCAGACAACCTTGCCTACTATCCTTACCAGTTTCAAGATGAACCTCTCTTCATTATTCATCAAATTGACATCATAGTCTCAGTCACTGGCTCAAATCTTCTTCAGTCCTTTAAAGAAAATTTGATTCTGAAACCTGGAGTTGAACCAGGAACAGAAGATGATGATGATGATGATCGTGAAGCGCTGTTGACAAGGTTTCCAGAAAACCTCGCACCTTTGAAGGAAGTGATTAATCTTTCACGAGGCTGTGTCTTGTTGCTAGTTCTCAAACAACATTTGAAAGATGTCTATGGTTTCTCCGAAAGCAAGATTCATCGTTATTCCCCAACTGAGCAGGCAAAGATTTACGAAAAACCCTTAAACAAGAAGAACAACTTAATATTCAATCCAAAATATACTATTGAATATTTGAATGAACAACAAGAAGACATGGATGATGTTGAAGCTAAAATCAGGGTGGTGGATGACTATCTTGAGTTCAAAGATCTGATGATGAGCATCGACCCTTCAGATGAAGATGACAGTGCTGATGAAGGAAGTGGTAAGGGAACGCCAACTCATGGTGGATCTGCATCACGTCTCATTGGTAGTAGCAATCCAGAAGATGGAGAAGCCACAACTACAGAAACTGACGAAGGTCCTGGAGCTAGTTCGTCTGAACCCAAAGAGGACGGACAAGCTATGGAATCCACAACTACGCCATCTAAAGAAGCCAGTCGTCCACCAATCACCTTATCGATCTCGAAATCAGTGGTGCACAAGACACCTCATCGAGAACGAGAACGAGATCGAGATCGAGAACACAAACGAAGTCGCCTTATAACATCCAGCACAAAGGGTCACAACAGCAGCAGCAGTAGTAGTCATCATCATGTACATAGATCTAAAGACTCCTCCCATCATTCAGGCAGTAAGACACCCGTCTCCGTTAAAAAGAAGAAGAAAAAGAAGAAGCGTTACCATAGTGATGAGGACGAAAGCGATGATGATGATGAGGACCCTGATTTCACCATGTAGCTTCATCATCTGGTCTGATGGATTCATCTACGCCATAGTTTAGCCCAGTGTTAATGCAATGTGTACTGATTAAAGAGACTAAAAGGCTTGCACTCACTTAAGGCTGTATGAATAATGACCTCTTTGGGAGCGAGGAACTTCATAATAATGTATCACAAGTCAAAAGGATGTACATATACAGTGGACTCAGCCATGAGACCACAAAAACAAGAGTCACTCATTAACTGTAATTATATTGTGGAAGTTGACAAATTGATATTTTAATCAGGACTTTCGTTCTATACATAGTTCTATATATATTGCGTTAAAGACATTTTTAAAGAAAATTGTTAACTTTGAACTATAATGTTTATAATCTCCATTTTGTTGTCGTAGTCGCAGTTTAGAGAGATTGAAAAGTTTCTTATTGTTTCAGTTGTTCAATACTTTAAAATTTCAAACACACCATTTTGTGGATAACAATTGCTTAGATGAATACCTTGCATTGACTTGTCACTTTGAATATGAGAATTTGTCAAACAGTTGCAAGTTATTTGTGAAAGTAATTGTTCATTACCTATAAGCTAAAGTTAGTTTTGCACCTGTAATATTTGATTGCTCATGGGAAAGAACTCTGCCTGTATTGTTTCAACTCCTGAGTTTTTTTTTCCTGTAAAGTTTTAGTTATGATGGTAAAGCCATAAAGTCATAAATGTAAATTATGTAGCTTTTAGTAGATTTTAATGACTTACTTGTGCTTTTCCATCACAAGTAAAACTTTGCAATTATTATGGCTGGGTTTTAAATTTGGTCTAGCAAAATTCAATGTTAAATGGAATGCCAATTGGGAATGGAATTGAGGCAATATTTAAAAGCTGAGAAAGTTACCCTTGATACAAGTGTTTGGGTTTTCCAATGATCAAAAAAATCTTTTATCTAACATTGAGAAATTACCATACTTATGACAGAATTGATCATAAGATTTTTTTGTGAAACAGCACCTGAAAAACAACCTCAATCCATTTCTAAAAATGGTCATGGAAGATATTTTTCAATCTCTCTGATATTAGTGTTGTCGACAACTTCAAATGTTTTAAATAATTTGTATTTTACCATTATTTATTCGGAGATCATTTCATGGCCATTTATAGCCATTTTTCATTTTTTTTAACAATATATGCTGTTGAGATATTTTCATTTTTCACATTCACTTGCCAAAATATATTTGGGTAAGCAATCCTCAAGAATAGATCAAATGATATTTCAACTAAAATTGTTGAAATGAAATTCAGTGTAAAATAACATCAAATATATCGGAAATTCTTGACAAAACATGATCAGAATAAGATAGGCGTGTAATTTTTAGTATTCACCAACTTTTGATTGACAACTCTTGTGAAATGAAGACTAGCTTTGAAATGATTTGTATAAGAACAATTAAATTTATTATTAAAAATTAGAATTTTTTTGTATCACATGTTAAAAAGCACACAATAAAAAACTAAAAACAGAGCACTTAAAAGGGATTGTAAAGAGGTTTTCTAGATTTTGTATGTGTATCAAGGACACTGATAGTATCAATTTACACCATTCCTATTCTCAATCAGACGTCTGTGATTCCTGAAATTCCAACAAAATTAAATGTTTAATGATGTTGCTAATCGCAAAATATGCTTTTATCACAGGCCTTAGTGACGTCATCAAACATTTACTTCTATCGGAATTGCAGGAACCAAAGACGTCTGACTGAGAATGGGAATGGTGCAAATTGATGCTATCAGTATCCCCTATACACAAATTTTGTAGAAAACCTCTTTATAATCCATTTTAGTGTTAATCTGGACCAGTCATAGACTGACTAATTGATGACTAATTATATTGGTTTTAGGCCGGAGGTTTGAAATGAAGGCACATTATAAGAAAACTTTCGAAATGGTTCTTGTTCTATTTATATCTTTGTTTAATTAATTAGTGATTAATTAAATATGATTCTCTGTGTTAATGACTCTACAAAAATTAGTCAAGTTTTTTTTTGATTGTCTTCTTTAAAGGGATTGTAAAGAAGTCACCTAATATTTTTTATGTGTATCAGGAACACTGATAGCATCAATTTACACCATTCTGATATCCAACCAGACATCTGTGGTTCCTGCAATTCCATTAAAACTAAATACTTGATGGCGTCACTGATCGCGAAGGAACCATATTGATGCTATCAGTGTCCCTGATACACATTCACTTTAACATAAAGGAATTGTTTTGTAAAGAGGTTTTCTTTTCGAAGTCATAATAATAGCGATTTTTATTCTAAATATTTCAAGAATGAGATCATAAAATGTCAGACCAATCAAATGGATAGAAATTACTGAGTTATGTTTGATTATAAGAAAAACACTGCAAAAAACAAAGAGTTCATAAGTTAGAGGATCATGTAGATTTGGTCATATTTAAAAAGATTGTAACAAGGTTTTCTAAATTTTAATTTATAGTAGGGACACTGAGAGCCTCCATCTGCACCATTCAATTTTCAGTCATGCAACTAGCTTAAGTGGAATAGCAGGAGCCATAGACCTGATTGAAAATTTGAATGGTGCAAATTGATGCTATCAGTGTTCCTGATACACATAACAAATTTATAAAACCTCTTTACAATCTCTTTAATATTTTGGATTGGCAATTTAGAAATTTCAATTTTGTTTATGGAAATAGATTTTACTGTTAAATGTTGTTAAAAGATTTCCATTTTAATTTTTTTTGATGCATTCATTTATTCATTCATTATCCTTTCATTCATTCATTACTATATAGTCTACTGTTCAGTCTTTTCTTCATTTGACTCATTATGCATTATTCTGACAAAAGAAAGATTACTGTTAAGTCTTCCCTTTGTTTTACTTTTATCTACTGTTGTTCTCTCCTGGCTTAATTTCCCTCATTGCATACTTCACGGCATTGTCAAGTCTATTCTGACCGATTCCATCCATATCCGGGGTATAAAGTTGTCTAATTATTGCTTTTCGAGCTCTTGAAGCTGAATTGCCTTTTACAATAAGTCAGCTAGTGACCTTTAAGCTGAAAAGTAGTAATACAGGAAGCTGAAATTGAGCTCTGTCAGTAAAGCAGAAATTTAGGCTGTGTGATCCAGCAAGTTTTCAAGCACAGAGAATAAATAAAAATACCCTATTTTAAGCTTATAATGTATGGGACATATGGTGGAGTCTTATGAAAGCAGGAGTCAGTGGCACACTTCCAGGGCATTGAATACTTCTCTATGTAAGTGTTTGGGAATCGGAATCCCCATCATAGAGTCCACATGCATGGACTCTTTGCTGCACATTACGCACATGTCCATCTGTCAGCATCTTATTAAAGATGACCATATTTTGCCTTGATCTTGATAAGTTATAAGGGAAAGAAACCTAATAGATATGATGTCTGTAATAAGTCAGTAGGGAAAGAAACCTAATAGATATGATGTCTGTAATAAGTCAGTAGGGAAAGAAACCTAATAGATATGATGTCTGTAATAAGTCAGTAGGGAAAGAAACCTAATAGATATGATGTCTGTAATAAGTCAGTAGGGAAAGAAACCTAATAAATATGATGTCTGTAATAAGTCAGTAGGGAAAGAAACTTAATAAATATGATGTCTGTTATAAGTCAGTAGGGAAATAAACCTAATAAATATGATGTCTGTTATAAGTCAGTAGGGAAAGAAACCTAATAAATATGATGTCTGTTATAAGTCAGTAGGGAAAGAAACTTAATAAATATGATGTTTGTAATAAGTCACTAGGGAAAGGAACCTATTATATAAGTCATTAGGAAAAAAGGTATCCATTGCAGGATGTCAAACTAACTAATAATGTTTTTGGATTATTTTTTCTCATAGAATTGATAAGTTTAAATGCCATTAAAGGGAGATAACATCTCTTATGTTTTAAGTAATTCAGACCACAATGAAAGTATCGCGCAGCTTACTTCAAGGATGTAATCAGTCATCATTTGCTTAAGTGAGTGATGCTGAATACAGCTCATCTTGTTAAAAATTATTGGTAAATTGGTGAACTGTTAGTGAGTGATGTTGAGTAGTACTCACTACAGCTCATCTTGTTAAAGATTATTGGTAAATTGGTGAACTGTTAGTGAGTGATGTTGAGTAGTACTCACTACAGCTCATCTTGTTAAAGATTATTGTTAAATTGGTGAACTGTTAGTGAGTGATGTTGAGTAGTACTCACTACAGCTCTTGTTAAAGATTATTGGTAAATTGGTGAACTGTTAGTGAGTGATGTTGAGTAGTACTCACTACAGCTCTTCTTGTTAAAGATTATTGTTAAGTTGGTGAACTGTTAGTGAGTGATGTTGAGTAGTACTCACTACAGCTCTTCTTGTTAAAGATTATTGGTAAATTGGTGAACTGGTAGTGAGTGATGTTGAGTAGTACTCACTACAGCTCATATTGTTAAAGATTGTTGTTAAATTGGTGAACTGTTAGTGAGTGATGTTGAGTAGTACTCACTACAGCTCATCTTGTTAAAGATTATTGTTAAATTGGTGAACTGTTAGTGAGTGATGTTGAGTAGTACTCACTACAGCTCATCTTGTTAAAAATTGTTGATAAATTGGTGAACTGTTAGTGAGTGATGTTGAGTAGTGATAATTTAAGGTGATTAGTGATATGTTTTTACTCAGAAGATGGAACTGTTACAACTTAATCCGATAACGACATTGAATTAGTTAATATAATGACTTTAATTAAGTAGGCAAATCAAAACGATTTATTTACAACCGGAGTGTTTCTACCTCGGGTAAATCTGCAAGAAAGCCAGAGATAGTGTAAATGTAGTTTTTGACAATGATATATGCGCTGATATGTAACTTTTCCAGATATTTCATATACATTATAGGTCGAGCTCGATGTTTGTACTGGGATTTCATGGCTGCACTAATTCCTTTCACAAGTTTTCCAAACCTTGAGGATTTCGGGCTTGTTGGTGAACTAGGAGTCGAGCTGTCTCTAGAAGTATGTTTCTTTTTAGTTTTGGAATCACGCGAAGGGCTTTTCGGGGGAGTTTTGGTGCGATTTTTAGCCGGCGTATTAGGCCTACCATCTGTTTGTGACCTAGGGTCGTCTTTGGAAAATTCTATTTCAAAATCCATATCCAGAGTAATTCCGTGAGCTTTTTTGATCCGCGAAGCTATATCGCAGATATTGTTACAGACTTTCAAAAGCAGCAGCTTACACATGGCGTACTTCCGGTTTGTTACAGGGAAATCGACACCATGCGTTAAATCGCCGACATACGTCATAAAAGCATTGGCAATCTCATTTTTGAGAACTACTTGCTTTTGGAGTTTCACTTCTTCTTGCATATATAGCAACGATTGTCTAATGGTGCTAACCGGAAGTGACCATTTATCGAATTTATTTTCCGGAAGTGATAATTCGGCTATTTCAATTATCTTAGCGACGGTTTCACTACGATAGAAATGGCCAGGATTGGTTGAAGCGAATAAATCTCTACCAGTTATGGATTTGAACCATTTTGGATCGACATGTTCAGGAAATCCTTCTGTTCTTTTCGGTGGAGGTTCCCAAAACATCCGGTCTATTACTCCATCTAGAATATTTTGTACAAAGCTTGACTGACATTTGTCTTCGATCTCTCTATCGATTTCATCACCGTCTTGTCCCAGCTGTCTCAGATCTTTAGCAATACCCCAAACAGTTAGTGTTATTTCCCTTGCCAATATAGGAGCCGTAACAAGGCGCCACTGTTCTGAAAAAATGGCTGCCCGATGACAATGGAATATTGCTGATACATTTTTATAATCGCCTGGCAGAATGATTCCCGGTGAATCGTCAAGGAAAAGACCCATCTTATCCCGAGCTCTTCTGGAAATCGTGATCTCCGGATCTTCAGCTTTTGGGATTTTAAACAGTTCGAAACGAATGACACAGCTTCCAATATTTACGATCGTCAACCTTCCCCTCTTCGTCTCACCAGGAGCTGTTAATATTCCTAGTTCCAAATCAACTACAGAGTCCCGGGTACTCCAGGTTAAAATCTGATCACCAATTGCTATAATGGGCTCTACGCTGTCGATTTCTATTATTTCAGGTAATGGGGAAATGAGAGGACTTGGATGTTCAATATTCAGAGTGTTATCAGAAACTCTTGATGACATTCCATTTTTCACAGTCAAATCCAAAATGGCGTCATTTTGGTTCAGACGACCTGATCCCGGTCGATAAACTACTTCCGGGTCGGCAGCTATTCCTCTTTCTGTCTTCGTAAGAGAGAAGTGGATCCCTCTCAGATCGTCACCAAGTCGTTCCTCTTGCTTCCAAAAACCGTTTGGTTGAGTTGCTCTGATTTCAGACTTCCATGCACTTTCAAAATCATGATATTCTTGTGGCTGTCCGTTTGCGACCCTATAAGGATGGTTGCCCATAAGAAGGTCACCTGTTGGGCGTTTAGATTTTCGAGCAATGGTATCACCGAGTATTTGTCTTTGTATGTTCTCTGCTTCCCACGCTTCCAATGCTTTGCCTTGGTCGAGTTTATAGCTGGTCAGATATTCCAAATCCAAAGTACCCGCTGCTCGGGTTCTGGATTGAGTTTCTGGCAAGGCGCTAGAGTTATCGAACCTGTCCGTCTTGCTCTCTTCATCGCGTTTATGTTCATTATCTGCTGCCAGATAATCTGCTATGCTTCCCAATATACTATGAGAGACTGGTAAACCGTTAGCAAATCTCAGACCATCCAGTTTTTCTGGCATCCATACAACTATATCTGCATCATTAAGTGCTCCTCTGCGTACCACGTATGCCATTTCGGATCTTTTAATGACCTTCTCATATTTCTTGATACAGTAGGTTTTCTTCTTAGTGGTTTCTGTTATTATTGGCTCGGGCGTTTCAGCTTTGTCCCCAATGTTGAGCTGAATTTGAAGTTTAGCTAGTGTTGCGTCCCATGCTTTTACTGGTATTCCCCACCGCTTTCTAGCAGAATCGGACCGAGATTTAGACTTGGGTGATGAAGGTGAGTTTTTCTCTTTACCCTTTCCCTTTTTATTCTGAAATAAAACAAGGTAGTTCCATGAATCGTGGAGTGAAAGGACCTTGGCTTCTTAACAAATTGTAGGTGCTGTCGCCCGAGAGATACCTCCCATTCTGGGCCTCTCCCTTATAAATTTTCTAGATACGCCGTGCTTAGCCTGTAGTCAACTAAGATGGGTCAGGCCATGCTTACGCAGAAGAAGAAAATGGAATGGGATTTTACTACTTACTGTTTTGCAGCTGATTACCGCTTTAATAGTTTAGTGAATCTTACCGAATCCGTGTCTGTTTTCTTTTTACCATCATCGCCGTCCTTTCCCGCCTTTCCACTAGATGGCGGTTTTGATCGGTTTTTTGTCATTTTCCACCTAAAAATTCAACTTCTTGCTCAAAATATTGTCCACGTCGCTGAAATATGACTTTTCAGTAGGCCTAGCAATAGAAACCATGCTGTTATAACGTCATAGTATACAATTATGGCGGAACAGTCACATGACGTCAACGTCATTATTCTGTGAAATGTCATTATGACGACTCTTTTGCTTCCAAATTTTGCAAACGAAAGTGAGTAGTCTTTTCATGGAGGTAGCTTGACAACTTTTTTGTGACGGGACCAATTTTCTTTTATCCATAACTTTTTAAAGAGTGTAAGGAAGGGGGGGGGTGGCTGAAAAGGTCACAGGTTGGGTCAGAATGAAGTCAGAAACTTGGTATACGTTAATTGCCACATTTTCTGATACTAACGGCATTGTTTCTTTCCACATCGACTGGAGCTGATTGAGCCATTCAAAACTTTGACTACATCCCTTAAATGCAATCATTGGAACATTATCAGTTCGTCATTTAATGACATTTTGCACAATAATGACGCTGACGTCATGCTACTCTTCCGACTGTTAGAAGATGATTTGGGTGACTAGCTTACATGAGATAATAAAAGCATTACCAATTCGTCATTATGATATAGCCGAATAATGAAGCTGCCGCCATGCTACTATTCCGACTGTTTTAGAGAATGTATATTTTCATTTGTTTAAAGGTATTGTTTATAGCTCATATCCGCGTTTAAATGTTGAAAAGACGACTCGCCTTTTCTTGAAACTATTCCTTCTTTAGAAAAAGAAGGTTAAATTCCTAGGTTGAAGTATTTTTAAAGGAATTGTGAGATTTTCTGACATTTCTAGTACTTCTGAAGACTATAAATTACATAATATTCAAAACCCAAATCACAAAATGGCACATCTGTCCCTTTAAATTTCAACTGTACTAAGCCTGTCTTGCTGTCATTTTGAAGGGAGAAATAAAGTTATGTAATATATTGGTTTATAATTGAAGGAAGTGAGGCTGTAGAAGATTGACTATCTCAGCAATTTATCTGTAATATTTCACTGCCATTTAAAGAGAGCCAAGAAACTTTCCAGAGCCTTTGTCGCTATTGAAAAAAGACAGAAAAAGAAGCATCAAATTTGTACAAGGATAACAACTTAGATTCACATGTGTCCCGTTTATCAGCTGCTCCTTGGCCATTGTCGAATTATCCCTACCCATTTACAGCTGACTAGACTGGCTAGACTGGAATTATGATGAAGGGGAGGGGCTGATTCCAAATATTTAACCCACAGATGAGGAACAAAAACGAATTGTGAAAAGTTATTCTTGAAATTACCTTAATAAAAGGGGGGGGGGGGAATAATGGATGGAGTTTTACGTCCTACTTTTCTGCACCATGTGGGCTAATGAAGACAGGGTGCAATGAGGGAAATTTTGTCAGGACCGCGGCATGAATTTGCTCTCTTTCGATTTTTCTCGGGGATCTTTATCGTGCACAGCCTGTAGCACACGGGACCCTTCCAAACGGGAATTTCGGGCGGGGCTACAGGATTGTTTGTTCAAAATGGCCCACCCACATTATACATCAAAAAGCCCCCCCCCCCCTCCCTCTCTCAATCCACCCGCCTCAAATCTTTTCAATAAGAATCGCGACAGAGGTTTACTTTAAGTTACTATCGATTTATAAGGATATCTCACGACAACATTATTCAAGATTGGATAAGACAATATTTCAGATAGATTGACAGTTAGTTGAGCTCTATTTACAGTATTTATTTTTAAAACTATCGTCTTTCAAATTAATATCATGACACAAATTTTCTTTCAGAATGCGAATCTATTGGCTATGCGAGAGTTTATTCCAGTATATATACTTTTCCTGATTGGACACTAGATTGTGTTGTTTATTAGTCCAATAAGTAACGTGAAGAAAGACGTGAATCCCAATTCTATTTCAGAATACAAATCAGGTGAACTATCCTACTCAAGTTTCACTGATTGGACACAACATTGTGTTGTCCATTAGACCAATAAATAATGGAATCAGAATGCGAATCTGGAGCATATATTCCAGTAAACATTCCCTGATTGTACACTGCATTTTGTTTTGTTCTGAAAAGTAATACGGAGAATTAAATTCTTATATTAAATGTGTGAACGAAGATCTATTTAATTTCGTTATTTCTTCAAACATTTCGTGGGAGAGCTTCTTGATTATTTTTGATCGATCGGAATACGTTTGATTAAGTGTTAACTCGGCAGAAAACGTGTTGAATGTTTTTTTAGACTCAGTATGAAATTCCACTTTAGACAAGAAGCTGTGTTGATAATATATTGTCCTTTAGTTTAAAATCTAATTTAAATTCGATTACAGACATACGAATAATTACGTTTCTTGTCGTGATAATTGCTCCTACCTTTTCCAATGTATCTGGGGCACCAAGGATTTTAGACGGTGGTTGGTTGGAAGATAAGAAGTTAACGTCCGCTTACAGCATAAGCCAATACGACAGACTAGAAACCAAGATGGCTTTTGTTCCCATTCATTTATTTAAAAAATGCTGCTCTGTTAAGCACTGCAAGGTTTTACCGTTATGCAATGTTGTCACAACTAGAGGTCCGTAGCAACCCCACTCCCCCCACCCCCGCCTCTTAAAATTCTGACAACCGACCAATTCCATTACTGCAACTACCTACACCATACACCATTGCCCTCCGAACAATGAAGTCTGGCTATACGGACTCGGTTTCCACTCCAAAGGGATTCCTTGTTATTGCTCCGTAATGCGAGGAGTAATATCACTCAAATATATTGGGGAAGAGGGAGGAGCCGGGGGCTGAACCAATGCATAATGACGTCATTATAATCTATTGTCCTGTTAATTAACGTTTATAGCAAATACCATTCAAGTCAAATGATTTTTGCATTCGTGACGTCACAGAGAACCTTCATTGAATCCCATAGCTGACAAAATACAACGTAGTTACTGTTTTTTTTTTCGATTGAGTACAACTCAATTATCGAGTTTTTTTAAACTGAAATTTCTTGGCTAACTTCCTTTAAAACAGTAATTAAAAGTCGATTAGGTGTAATTAGATTTTTCTAAGAAAATGTCAACTGGTGCCTAAGGAATACGACCTTAGAATACTGTTGAAGTGACATTTCGCTTGTTTACAGATGTGTTGGCATTTCAAAAAAAAGAAATGTTATATTACTTGTGTATCTTCGGTTTTTTATGTTTTTTTTTTAATTTTGAAGCTGTCAACTTGAATTTAAAGGGGTATTGCCTTCTTAATATTATACATACTATAAAAGAGAAACGGTTTAGCTGTTCGATCACTTTTTAGAATTAAAATCAGACTTCTGGTTCCTCTACAATTAAAAACGTAGTGACGGAAATGACGACACTCAGCTTCTCCTCGTCTATACATAATATATCTTCCATTATCGATGACGTATTTAGATTGATTGAATCTATCGAAAAATGAATGATGGCTTCAGATTGCGATATATCTTTAATTGTGGAAGAACATGTGTCGAGTTTCCTCATAAATAAGTGTTTCGGATATTTCAAACTCGACATTTACTGGTAAAAGAGATATGTAGACAATGAAGTATGATATCGTGATAGAGGAAACGTTTCTTTAAAGATTTTCTGGTCGAGTATGACATTATTTTGTTGTTTTTTTTATATTATTGTATGTCGCGTTATTTCAATTCCCATTGTTTTCGCTCTGACGATTTCTAATATTTTTTCAAAATTCAATTTTTTTGATAGACGATTTTATAGATGTGTTTCTATAGAAAAAATTCTTCAGAAAATCTTACTGATAGGGACAACATCATCTAAATATTGCTTTGATATTAAAATGTAGTCCAAGACATCATTTTAAGTTATCTGTAGTCCTTATCAGAAGGACAATCCGAACACTAGTTCTTCTACAATACTACAAAAATAAAATATTCCACAGACAATCTTTACGATGACAAATATTTGGTATGATATTCGCTCTAAGAGGTCATTTTCAGTTATCCGTAGTCCTTCTCAGAATGAAAATCTGGTGTACAGTTCATCTTCCATTTAAATGGAAATGTATAACAATTCACACAAGCAAATACATTAGCGTTTATAAACTTTCTGTCCAGGACCCCGATTGACCGTACTCGCTAACACACAATCTGTGATTCAAATAAGTGGCTATTGCAGACAAGATATAATCTTCCTATTCCAACGATACTATGATTATCCACATCTAGCCGTTGCTTGCATAATCTCATATTCTCGTCATTAATTTTGATTGGTCGTATTTACTTAGATGTGGATTATCGTACCGTTGCTAAAGGAAAATGACAAGGTATAAGACAAAGTTTGTAATAGCCTGACATTGTGAAGATGCATTTTGCTAAGCGCAGTCTGCTTTAACCGCCCGTCTCGTAGCCTGTGTCAAAGCCCCGAAAGCTAGTTTTTCGGGTAAAAATCTCATAACTAGGAAAGAAATTCGGGCAATCTCAGATATTTCGCCTCACCTCGGACGTAAACCCGGCTCTACCACTGCTCGTAGGCTACTGTCGCCGGTAAAAGTGACACTGTGAAGATGGGCACAATGGAAATAATCTGTGTTCAGAATGTTGTCGAGAAAGTGGCTCTAATCTGATGTGTAAGAGAAGAAGAATTCTTGTCCTCTTGTAAAGAATAATAAGAAAACTGTACGTGACATCTCGATTACTTTTCACATTTTTATTAACAACTCCTATCATCTTTAGATCAACTTATCAATATCATCATTGATTTCCATCACTGAGTTTCATTTTCCTACAAATTTCTGTCTGTCCAACAAATTGCTTTGTGTTTTCTAAAGCCGGCCATCGTGATTATGTTTCTCGAAGTTTTCATACAGAACGGTGGATTCGAATTTAAAGGCATAATGATTTTGGCGGCTGCAGAAATTTGAACTGGGCGAGGCTACCATACAGTCTGCAAGACAGAAAAAAAAATCAAGGTGTTTGCAAGATTGAAAAAAATTCTTATGTATAATGTCTAAAAGAATGAGAAAAAAAACAATTCTTTAATCTCTGCAAGATTAATTGAAAAGTCCCCATCCATAATATCTGCAAAGTTGAGAGAAATATGCCCTTCGATAATGTCTGGAAGATTGGAAGAAATACCCTGTCATAATGTCTGCAAGACTGAGACAATTCCTTTTCTATAATGTCTGTAAGATTGAGAGAAAAATCCCCTTCGATGATGTCTGTAAGATTGGAAGAAATACCCTGTCATAATGTCTGCAAGACTGAGACAATTCCTTTTCTATAATGTCTGTAAGATTGAGAGAAAAATCCCCTTCGATGATGTCTGTAAGATTGGAAGAAATACCCTGTCATAATGTCTGCAAGACTGAGACAATTCCTTTTCTATAATGTCTGTAAGATTGAGAGAAAAATCCCCTTCGATGATGTCTGTAAGATTGGGTGAAAAATACCCTTCCATGTCTGTAAGATTGGGTGAAAAATACCCTTCCATAATATCTGTAAGATTGAGAGAAAAATCTCCTTCGATAATGTCTGCAAGATTAAAAGAAAAATCCCCTTCCACGTCTGCAAGATTAAGAGAAAAATCCTCTTCCATGTCTGTAAGATTGATAGAAAATTTCTCTTCGATAATGTCTACAAGATTGAGAGAAAAATCCCCTACTATAATGTCTACAAGATTGAGAGAAAAATCCTTTACTATAATGTCTGCAAGATTGAGAGAAAAATCCTTTACTATAATGTCTGCAAGATTGAGAGAAAAATCCTTTACTATAATGTCTGCAAGATTGAGAGAAAAATCCTTTACTATAATGTCTGCAAGATTGAGAGAAAAATCCCCTACTATAATGTCTGCAAGATTGAGAGAAAAATCCCCTACTATAATGTCTGCAAGATTGAGAGAAAAATCCTCTACTATCATGTCTACAAGATTGAGAGAAAAATCCTTTACTATAATGTCTGCAAGATTGAGAGAAAAATCCTCTACTATCATGTCTACAAGATTGAGAGAAAAATCCTCTACTATAATGTCTGCAAGATTGAGAGAAAAATCCCCTACTATAATGTCTGCAAGATTGAGAGAAAAATCCCCTACTATAATGTCTGCAAGATTGAGAGAAAAATCCCCTACTATAATGTCTGCAAGATTGAGAGAAAAATCCCCTACTATAATGTCTGCAAGATTGAGAGAAAAATCCTCTACTATAATGTCTGCAAGATTGAGAGAAAAATCCCCTACTATAATGTCTGCAAGATTGAGAGAAAAATCCCCTACTATAATGTCTGCAAGATTGAGAGAAAAATCCCCTACTATAATGTCTACAAGATTGAGAGAAAAATCCCCTACTATAATGTCTGCAAGATTGAGAGAAAAATCCCCTACTATAATGTCTGCAAGATGGAGAAAGACCCCATATATTCTCATGTCAAAAAAAAACAGAGAGAGATTTTTAAGAATAAAACAGTTTTTTAATTTTCTTTTGCAAAAAATACAAAGACACAATTTTATCAACAAAATATAAAGCTTTTTGTGTATTATATAGAACACATGACCACCAGCAAAAGATTGCAACACTCTAACCAACTGCACTACAGCCCTCCTAAAAGTGTCAAATCATGTCAGATTATTATTTAATCTTAAAGGGACAGATGCCATTTTTTTGACCAATCATACTTTAGTCTGGGAATTTTTTTGCTAAGCTAATCAATAATAGTGTTCACAGCTCACCCTCGAAATTTAAGCCTTCAAATCCATGTGTGTCTAGAATTATCTGCGTTTGAAAGTTAAAATGATGAAAGTTAAAAGGACAGGTCATGTTTTTATGAGACACTGCCATATATAGAAAAGACATCTATAGAAATAGGAAAAGAAATTCCTAGTTTGAGATATTTTACATATATTCAAGATTCAAATCAACCCCTGAAATGGCGCATCTGTCCCTTTAATGAGGCAAGCTCCTAGAATCTTATAGAGAAAATCAATAAAAACAGAACAGAATTTATCTTTAATAATATCAATATACCACTGCTCCTTTATTTCTCAATAAAACTTTCAGGTTGAGCGAACAAATAAAATAGGCCATTAATATACATGCTTTATTCATATAGCTACTTATTAAGAGGGATGGACTTTATACTACAGTCTTTTGATCAATTGACTCATTGTACCCAGATGTAGGAAGGTGGGGAGAGGCTCGCCTAGGCTGAAACCCTTCCACTCACTATGTTTTTAGGTTTATCTATTGTTTTTCATAGTTATTGTTAAAAAAGTTACTACAAAATAATGAAATTCAATAAAAAGTTGATGGCAAAGAAATAAAAAAAAATTGCAAAGAAATTTAGCAAAGAAATTAATTATAATTGATGTTAGTAGCAAAATAGCAAATGAAATAAATATTAAATGAAAATCAATGAAAATTTGCATAAGTATATTGATAAAGAAAATTAATGAAAATTAAATAAAATTAATTACTAAGTACAATAAAATCAACGAATACAAAATATATTATTAAGACAAATTTATGGACCCTCCATATGAATTGGAATGTCCGTTGATCTTGTAAAGCAAAACCTCCTTTGAATAAACTTGGTCCGATTCTTTTTACTGTTTTGTGATACTTAGACATTATATGCACTAACCCAACACCCTGGGCTAACTTATTCATTCAAAATAGAATTTACAACTATAAATCATTTTGCTACAGTACCAAACATATCTTTGCTACAGAATAAAATCATTTTTATCAAAAATACATTCTTTAAATATCAACATTATTGGAATTCATGTTAAAAAACTAAAAGAAATATTAAAGAAAACCATTTTTATTCCTCAATAATAAGAGAATGTGCTCCTCGTCAAATATGGTTTACTTTAATTCATTCCCACCCAGTTCAAGTTTTGGCCAGAAAGTCAGGAGAAGCAACTTCTCCCCAACAGAAATTTTGAAGGAATCAAGACATCAGGAGAGATTACAAAGAAATTGTATATTATCATGGAGTTGTAGGGCCCATAGAAAACATATGCTTTATATGATGGGCCTACCCATATATGTACTGTTTTGATTATAATAAGGATACCTCTTACATTTCAAGACTTTTAAATCAAGTTCAAGTGAACTTTGACCCCAATGACCCCATCAAACATCGCCACAAAGTAAATTATCAATCAAATATTCACTAATGAATATCCCAGAAGTCCTTGCAAGAGTGGACAAAGCTTACGTTGAATGGATGTTTTGATTGGTTGGTCATGGCTTTTTGCAAACCAGAGAATCACTTCATGAAATGTCTTCGGAATCAAAATGTTTAAGAAAAGCATTAGCAAAGCTAGATTTGTGTATGATAAGTAAAATTCAAATTAATAAAAATCATTTGCTATTACGTTGAATGACAAACATCAATTCAGAAGGGACTTGTATCAGACAGTATTATCAAACATACATAATTGAGCGTAAAACCTCTGTTGATTCATTTGAGTCAATGCCTGTTTCCATGGACACCATAGAAATAGTGATGTCATACACTAATTCAAATAGGACTAAGGTGAAACCGAGTATCATCCAACATAGGTAACAGAGCGTAAAACTTCCTTTGATTCATTCCAGACAGTGCCTGTTTCCATGGATACCATAAAATGGTGATGTCATACACAAATTCAAATAGGACTAAAGTTAATCATATAATCATCAAACATAAGTAACTGAGCGTAATACTTCCTTCGATTCATTAGAGTCAATATCTGTTTCCATGGATACCATCGAAATGGTGCCGCCACCCATTTCTCCCGTACCGCACAATTCTTTCATTGATTGGACAGTATATTTCATAGTTTCAACCGACATGACAACACCAGCCCGAACTTTATGAGCTGCGTGACTACTGGTGTCTTTAATACTCTGCATGTAAACGGTACCACTGTCTTTGAAAGACCTGACGTTGGTACGAATAGTCTCAATCTTTCTCTCCATTCTTTTCTCTCCCGTATCCTTCATAGTTTTCACGGTGGAGCGAACCGTTTCGTATTTCTTGACACCACTGTCTTTGATGGCCTTCGTGTGAGATCTGACAGTCTCTATCTTCCTTCCCATGCCATACCGAAGTTTACTCTTCACTTCTCCAATGGATTCTATCATATTGGACGAGAGCCATCCCTGAGGTGGACTTTCTGGTGGTGAATAGAGCTTTTCAGACTCCACTGAAGAAGAGTCAGTCACTGGGTTAGTTAAAACAGCTTCTGGTGGATGGTCGAAATCATCCTCCTTATCTGAAAGACATACAGACGAACATTCGCTCGCAGGCACAATGATAATTTCAGGGATTTTTTGCTTTTCTTCCACCATGAAGAAGTTTGGACAACACAGACGTCTGATGGTTGTAATCACAATAGCCACAATTATACCAAATACCAGAAAACCAGCAGCTGTAATTCCACCCCATATTAAGCTTTCTATGTACACTTTTTGGAAAGCTGAATAAATTTGCACAGATGTCGAAGCAGACACATTTCCAACGGGTGTAAAAGCTAAGCACTTATAATTTCCAGAGAAAAATCCCCGGAATTTATCAATATGGAGGGAACCATTTGCCAAAGCACTGACTGTTGTAGTGACGAAAAGTTTTTGACCAAGGTATGAATACGTGACGCTATGATGTACTGCGTGATCCCCTATTAAATGATGTGACGTATGATGAGAGAACACTGTACCCCAGGGCGTGAACCATACAACAGACGGGTTGGGGTAGCCCGTAACGTCACATGACAACATCAAATCTGTAAAATGTAGCACTGTTTGATCAGAAGATATGCCCACAATGACTGGATGACTGCAATTCAGATTTTCAATGTCTACATCTTGGAGTAACCTCCCTTGATAATAGTCTGGTGAAATGCATGCTGTGTCGTCTGCACTAATTAGATTAGCAGAGGAATCCTTTATCATATTGACCAATGGATGAACGGCACAGGAACATTCAAATGGATTAAAAGACACATCTATGGATGGAATCAAAGAAAGACTCGGAATAACGTCTGCATGGAATGTACGGAACATATTGTTATTTAGATATAATGTCTGTAAATTGGACAAAACTTCAAAATGATTGGATGATAGAAAAGAAAGTTTATTGAAACTCAAATCCAACGTTTCCAAATTGTTGAGATCATGGAAAATGGTCGTTGGTAATGACTCTAGACGATTGTTTCGCAAAATTAACGAACGTAAACTTTCAAGATTCTTGAAAGCATCTACTGGAATGGTATTGAGCAAGTTGAAACTTATATTTAAGGCTTGCAGTTTATCACTAATGAAATAAAAGGCACTAGCTTCAATGGAATCGATTAAGTTACGCGACAAATCCAGGCTGACAACATTGTCAAAATTTACAACATGGCCGAAAGTTATTTCATGTAATGAATTATCAGAGACATTCAGAATCTGCACTCCACCTGCAGGCAAATTCTTTAAGACATTTAAATCTGAAATGCTTCGATGGAGGCTGAATTTGTTCACACGGTGTACTTCAAAATAAGTATGCAGGTGTTCAGATGGAGCTTGAATTTCGGAATTATATGTACCGGTACAGCCTATTGAAAAGCTTTTGATATCACAAATACAATTTGTTGGACAATGTTGATGGATGCTTGTGTATGCTGCAGTGGAGATTCCAAAGAGAATGAAGGCTACACCAAAATACATCATAAAGTACTGGTAGGCCATTTTGAAAATCGACTTCAAATCATCTTTTCAACTCATATTTCACCTTCTTGCAGTCCTGAAATAGACAATGCACACAATAAGCTTGGGACATTAATCTAGAAAATTCAACATTTGAATTCTGTTAAAAATATAAAATAAAACATAGGGCAATTAAAATGTGGTCATACTTCCATTATGTAAATTGAATAAAATGTCAAAATCAATTGTGTTCACAGAAATGAAAATTTTATTTGTATTCCAGAGTTGATACAAATCAATCAAATCTCTGCATTTGTACCAGAAAAGGGGTTATAAAATGATCGAAGTAATCGATTATTGTAGTAGTATTATTTTGGTATGATTTTAATTTAGTATTTACAGGGTTACTCAATTAAATTATTTCGATTATTATTGATCGGTAGTCTGCCATCGATAATCGATCTCAATTTTGTAATCGATATTCAGCTCTAGTGGTTATTGCAGTCAATATATTAGACGCAGTTTACAATAGCTTGTCATTGTGAAGAACCTTTTTGGTGGCTTCTGCAAATATCAATTTTTTTTACTTTGTTTAGGATTATGAAGGCCCTATTCAATTCAAGGCTCACATTGGCCTAGGTCTATCATGGCAAACTTGTATCATGATTTAGCAAAATGAATTGAAGAAGCAAATCAACCAACAGCAATTTCATATTTTGATAGCAATAATATTTGGATTGGCTTGGTGTGATTTTAAAATTTTGGCAATATTTAATATCCATGACAAAGCATATTTAAACTACCTACATTTCCACTCAGGCACTATACAATGAGATGGGCCCCATGCCATGGCAAAGGGCCAAGTATGACAATGTCAAATCTCAAGATGGGGAACCAAATTGAATTTTGCAACAGCGACCTCATTTATAACTGAAATTTACATAAAAGTTGGATTGTGATCTCAACAGAAGTCATAGCAACATCTTAAGAAAACATAATCGTACACCTACGCTTTCAACTCATCAGCAAATTTTTAAAGAAGGCGTTTTTCTTCTCAATTTTTGTCTTGACAGTTTCCTAACCATTTCCTGTTGTTGACAAAGCATTCCCGATAGTGTTTCGTTGTCCCAAATCCAAATCTAAATATTTTTTCTCGATTATCTAGACATTTAGCGTCATTTCCCTCTTATATGATTATGACTGGCTAATCGATAGTCAAAGTCTAGAATTTTCTTGGGTGAAAAAGAAACACAACCAACCAGAAGGGATTCCCCAGTTTCACTTCCGCTCTTCCATTTACTGAACTTACACACCGATTATCTCACCTCAAATCTTAATCCCCAATTAATGAGTGCTAATTAAAAGTCTGATTTAAATCTAATCTGATTGTTAATCTCTCATAAAATATTTGTTTTTAAGTTATTGAAAGCTAGAATAAGACATAAGGTGGAAATTCCCTGAAAATTTCCTTATGCGCGTGCTAAACAACAGTTTACGTCATCGGTTTATTATAATATTCCGTCAGTCGGCCATATTTTATTTTGTTATTCGCGAAAACGACGACGAAGAACCAATTCTTTGTGATTTTAACCTTCTTTTAACTTTTTAACATAAACATTTTACGTATGAGTGTTTGAATAATGGCGAGGATTACATTTATCGCCGTAGCGGTGACGATTTTAGGATCTGTATGGTCCATGTCTGGTAAGCAAATATTAAAACGGGCACCTGCTATCTTACACAGTAGCTGCTGCCGCCATCATCCTTTTTATCCATGGATACCATGGACCTACAACATTGTGTCACTACTTAGGACCTAGTATCTGTTATATTTCTCTGTATGTTTACAATGGATGGTCTCATAAACTTCTTATATTAACCCATAAGGAATAGGGTTTTAAAATTTCCAGTTAATTAAGGCATGAAACTGAAACTTTGAAATTATTTCCCTATGATAATAATTATCAACATAAAACAGTTAAGTCTTTGGCCATTGGGAAACATGAAATTATTTAGTATATATTCAATAAGTGTTAGATTTTAATAAATTAATTTGTCATGTACCCTGTGATTAGTATAATTCGAACCTATGTCTTGCGACAAAGACATCATACCAATGATGGAATAAACATTTTGATCCGACCTACATCAGATCAACAAAGACGCTTGATTAAATCAGACCGATGCCTATGTCCAATGTCAACAACTGAACGAACATTCTCCATAATTGAAATATTGTAAGAGATGGTACATGCCTTTGACAAGTATATAATGACCATTGATGAAATTTTAAATACAAATTTGATCAATTGTAGTCTCGTGAAGAACTTTTACAAGAAACACTCCTCTGTCTAATGTAAGAGGTAAAAATTGATTTTGTCTGATAAATGATATAAGATTTGAAAATATAAATGGAGATGAGATACATAGACTGTTGACAGAAGGGGAAAGTGATTTAATTGGAATTTTGAGTTGATATTACTTTCAATGGAAACTTAGATTTGAGTCAGATTGTCATTTTGTAAAAATGTGATTGGGTATTGAACAGAAGGGTAGTTTCCCAAAGATAATTTTTGTAAGATTTCGGAAAATTTGGAATTTAACTTTGTTAAGAGTTCTATATCATTAAACTGTTTGCTTAAGTAACTTGTTTAATGCAGCAAGATCGCAATATACAGACTGATGTCATATTGTAAGGTTTTCATTATTAGCAACCATACACAACTGGTGTTGCTATGTTCACTATGGTGTTAGGGTCTCAATGAAAACACTGGCCTAGGTCACAGAGTGTTAGGGCATCATTTAGGTGCATTTTTAATTGGGAGAACATGACACAAGTTATGGATAACAATTACTGTATTTATAACACACGTTCAGACAAGATTTGACAAAATAACCAAGATGGGAATATGATAAAACATAATATAATCTTACATGAATATGATACATGAACATAAAAGTACCGTAGTATAAGTAATTAACCAAAATAATTTGTCACCCTTTGTATAAAGGTATTAAAGGGATTGTTTTCTAAATTTATTATGTGTATTGGATACACTGCTACCATCAATTACTTCCATTCCAATTTTCAATCAGACGTCTGTGGTTCCTGTAATTCCACTATAAAGACTATTTCTTGTCAATACTAACTAGTGTCTTTTCAACCATCATTAATAACTAAAACTAAGTGTTTGACGACATCATTGATTGCAAAATATGCTTTGATTTATCACATATAAAGCTGGGTATCGATC